CTTAGCTAGACCCCTGCAGTAATGTATCAAATATAGCATCCTCTGTCCACTATCTTGCACTCTATCCTCTATGTAGTATTTGAACTGTTGAATAAATCTCCAATAACACCTAAGGTTGCCATCGAAAGCCTCTAAATCCACTCTGGGTAAGTCTGTCTTAACCACGCAAGAAGTCTGTTGGACCGCTGGTTCCTCACATATGGGCGTGCTACTTCTCATCCCCGCAAAGTAATCCTTTACCTTAACTTGTGTGTCAACCTGCACATCAACGACGGAATCATCGTCCGAATCCAGCTCTAACTCCGCTAGACGCACCTCATTACGCGCCCTCATAAGCTGCGATTCTTTTTCCATTTCCTCTGCCTTAATCTGCGCTCGCAATAACGCAACCGACTTTATTTTTCTATGCTTAGATGAGTCAGAGCCAGGAGATGAACCAGTAGCTGAAGGATTGCCAGAACGGCCGACTTGCCTCGAGTCCTCCGGTAGATAGAGATCCGTCGACGGGACTTTCTCCATCGTCTTCGAGTCCGTAGACCGTTGTGTATTGTATCCTTAACCCGTTGAGTACTGTTACGGCTATCTGCTTTCTGAGTTTGATTCACACGTGCCAATCCAGGAAAACGACCAAAAAATCCGAATTCGGGATTCACGGTACTATTGCAAACATGATAATATACATATTCAACAAACCTCAACGGATTCTCCTGTGCAGATACCGTAGGGTTACAAAAATAGGGCGGTACAACTACCAGCCTGAGGATAAAGCGTAAATCACTTCGTCTCAAAATCGATATCGTCACAACCAAACAGATATCGACGGCGAGCAACCGCAAAAATCATAATGTCCGACCAAAGTCCGTAAGAGTTATAAAAATAGTTCGGTGAAACAAGAAGGTTTCAGTTCATCTGGTCTAGGGGAATAAACATGGGGATTGGCTGTCACATGGGGTTGGAAACGGGAGCACATTGTTGGTAAGCTGTCTTCTTCAGTGCATTCCTGTACTGTTTGCAGCATACGGCTCCATTGTGTTCCATGCAATTAAATTGAAAAAAGCCTCCAAAGCTAGGACTATCGTAATCGACGGCTACTGGTAAGTGTCCCTTTCCAGATTGGAAATGTGACTGTCACTGTCTCGACCACGGATGAAGCCCACCTGTGCTTGAATTTCACTTCTCAGGTTGGCACCACTCATTCGAGCAATTTGGGGGCCACTGACACTGGATTCATTCTTCTGCGACTGCCCCTCTGAGGATCTAGCCTTCCGCCTAGCGGCAGCGGTTGATAACGCACCGGTAGGGATTTTACATGTGTGGACGAAGGCTGAATCTAGCGCTTCCCTTTATTTTAGGGCACTCCAGTTTCGGACTTCTTGGCTTATTGAGATGGATAAACAAGACTTGCAAAGCATAGACGGAACGCACTATTCACAGGCTTACTAAAAACTCTTCGATAGTCCACGACCATCTTGGTCCTTCCTGGAGCTCATCAAGTGGGCGCAGTCCCCGACCTCCCGTCAACTTAATGTTCAACTCGGATCCAAATTTCGCGCTATCCGCGATATACACTCATTTACGAAATAACCTTGAATTAGTGGAGGACTCAGCTGAATCCCGACTGTATCTCTCGTTTGTCATGTGCTTCAACTGCGTGTGTCTACGAAGGTCGAAACGAGTCGAAAAGTTTCCAGCAACCTTATGAGTGATACATTCCGTCTGGGCAGTTTACTCCGATATCCCGAATATCGTACCAACTGAAGCATGAGGCGACCTTTCTGCTGCAGGCTTATTTGAGGAAGTGAGGGATTCAGTTTAGTCTCATGTTAAAACTAAAATAATTGCTAAATAGGAGGTATTTCGCGAAGGCTGGCTGGGCTTTTAATCCGGACACATGAATACGTTATCCGTAATTTAGCTGTACTAGGCTCACTTTGAAACCTTCAGACAAATAAGGGCATGATCTTTCACGCCACCCTCTATCCCCAGGTTTCGGTCAGTGAGGTCAAGAACATCAGCGAGTGGTACGCCTTATCTCTCCGCTTTTCGTTGAATGACGAAGTAGTTGAGATTGACCCAGGTGATACTAAATTCCCGCACGCTAGCTCATATGCTATTGGGTTTTATTTTAATGTTCGTCAGCTTTCATTATCCGCCTTTTTTCTCAAGATAGAAAAGCAAGTTGTTCTCGCTGGGCCATGCTAGTCGGTTTGCGTGTGTTGTACAGATTCAGCTTACTGTGACAGCGGCAAAGCATCAGTATTGAGCAGTGATATCATGCTGTCGGTGTTGTTGTTGTTGTTGATGATGATGATGATGATGCATCTTGCAGAAATTGTGGTTGAATATTCCTTGAGCCACTTATCAAGACCAACAACGTTATATGAACCCAGGCTGTCTTTCTAGGTCTAGTTAATTGCTTTATACTCTTATGACGTCAGTGGCAGTCAAAACTTTCTAGTCTCTAAAATCGTCCGGCTGTAGCACCCTTTCGGTGCTTAACTGCCATGCCACCGGAGGAAATCACCAGGGCTGGGATACTGCCAGGTCGCCCAAGCTTAGACAGTGGAAGTCGGGAGGCAGAGGTTTGTTTCTTGCTCGCGAATTTGGGGACAGATGCTTACCCACTGGTTGGTTTGAGCATGATAGTCTCCAGTTGAAGATGCTTTCATGGTACACAGTCTGAGAAGCTTCTATCATAATCATCCTGTTCATTGTTTTTCTGGCGAATTCTCACGGATTTGGGTGTGAATGTTTCGGCGGTACAACTGACTTTTGTGGTTACTTTTGCCGCTCATTTTAATATTTATATTTGCCGGCTACGCTGAGCTTACTGTGACGCTAAATTTAACTTCTTCATGAAAGAGGACTTGGATAATCACCAATCAGTACCCATGACTTGATTACCAACCGTCGGACCTGGTAATCGTCTTCTTATACATAGTAGTTAGTCAACAGTTATGACGTAACACTTCACTGCTCGTCTTTGGTCTAGTCGACATGCTGAATCGCATAATGTTCCTCTTATCCCACGGTATACAGTCAGTTGTTATCGAGAAGAATGTTGGTAGCTCAGGCAGCGTAGACCATCGTTGGTTTGTTAGCTGACCTGGGCAATTTGGTTGCAAACGCTTTATCACCAGTGGAGGTGACATCATCAGTGGGTTCTTAAGGGGCGGAACGGATCGTATTTATGGGTTCATGCTTGTGCGTTGAGTAATGGTGCTTGTGTCTGAATTTCGATCGGGAGATTTTGTTGGTTGGTCTGTTACCCTGGGTCACAATCGGTCAGCAATCACGTGACCTTTGAACCTGGTCCCTCACACTCATCCACCGATCAGTGCCCGAGTGACCTCCCTCAGTGACCTCTCTGGGTTCCACTTTTTAACCTTTATTCATTTAAATGTAAAGAGATTCCTGCTTATTGGTCTGTTACTCCAATAGTTGACTCTCTTTGAGTATTCAGGCTGTGATGTTGGTCCGTAGTGGCACGTAAATTAGATCTATTTCAATGTGTCAGTTGATCGAATTCGTCATGGAGTAACATGCTTCTGGAAGTTTCCCCACGGGTCTCGTGTCTGTGCATGCCAAGATTTTTACGTCTTCCAGATTGAATTTGTGGCTTTGTCTTCATATATAGATATCAATGATGGTCATGTTGTGTTCCTTTATTCGTGTGCATAATTTCCTTCCAGTTTGTTCAAAATAGAGCTTTTTTCAGAATCTTTGGTGTACCACATCGTTCCTCTTGGTTTTGTCAATGTAGTCCTTCGTTCTTGAAATCAGTTTCCGTAATGTCATTCGGTTTGTGGGCTACGAGGATTCCTTTTCGAGCTAATGATCTGACTGTGAGTTCAGATATATTCTTGATTTAAGGTAGAACGGTCCGTCTGGTCGCTTGTTGCTAGTGTTGAGATGTCTCCTTCAAGATTCTCTTAATAGAATTCCTTGGACATTGACTGTTCCCGAACACTCCGGATAGACGGTTTTCTCCCTTCTTCCTGAGTGGTGCTGCAGTGTCCACCCTCTCGAACAGGGTTCGAATGCAGCTCTTCTGGTTCATTGGATGATCGCTGTTGTAGTTCACTATTTGGTCCGTATGTGTTTTTCCAGCATACGCAGGTCTCTCGAGTCCCATCCACTTTTCTGTTCACTAAGACGTCCAAGAATGTTAGTTGGTTGTTGCCTTTCAGTTCGATCGTGTATTCAATGTCTTCCAGAATTGTACTATCCTGTGCTAAGGCTGTGATCTCAAGGGAAGAAATTGTTTAATTAGCCTAAACTCACAATCTAGGTGTCCTATCTGACAGGTAACGTGTAGTCTGATTCACTGACGGACGGTCAGTAATATTTGCGGCGAAACCGAATTCTACGAACTTCACCTGCGTTTGTTCAGTAGTCGCAACTGGGCAGTGAACAATATATTGAATTGGACTTGGGCAGACAGTATAGATAGGTAGACCGTGGTTGTATAAGAAATTAACAGTAAATCGTGAGGAGAATTAAAGAAAGGCTTACGGCTAGATTGAACCTTGGGCAGTTAGCAACACAGGATGACACACGGAGGGCAGCGTGCTATCGGACAAGTTTTCAACAACAAGCCCAGAAATGAATGTGAACAAATCGTCTATAGAAAAATGGTTGAGGTAGAATCGATTTTGTATTAAATAGAGTAGTTCAGTCTTGCAACTGTAGCAGTCATCGGAAGGGTAATGAATTAGTATGAGGAATAGGGAAACAAATAATTACGTCGCAATTAACAAGGGTAATATTTAGCAGTTGATGCAGGTTGCCGTCATGAAACGAGCTTCCCGTCATCAAACATGGTCCCTAGTTCTGACCCCACCGGCAACTTTCCAAACTTACCGCATTCGGGTGAAATGTACGAGCTGCCTAAAACTTTGTGCAGCAGCATTTTGTGTGATTTAGTCCATGAATTAAGTTTGCTGTGTGACTCTAATTTCAAGTTGACGTTTGTATTCTTCGCCTAAATTATCATCTAGGAGAAGAACGTAGAAACGGTAAAACAGGCAAGAGAGGAACGAGTTCGCGAGCTGCGTAGTGCAATCGAACTGATGATCACCCGATTGGACTCGCAACTCAAGTCCAAACTTGTCACCCTCATGGACCAACGCAACCAACTGTCCCAGGTAAGCCAACGCCCTCCTTTGTTTTTGCGAGACCTAATGCGTATTCATCTAGATTTGCCCGAGTAAGTTCTCTTCTAGCCTCTCTAAGCCAGTTTTTTTATAATTGTCCTACGACAGCTGTTGTCCGTTTTGTGTTCGCTTGCGGAAGCAAGCTCTTAGGGCTAACAGGAGTGGAAAGAGCATATTCTGTGGTGATTCCCAATCGGTTTGCTTCACGTTAGTCTCCCGTAGATGGTGACTTTGTTTCTACTTGTCCATGGATCGGCGCTTGCCGCTTTGATGCCCGTTCATTATTGTATATTTTCCCTCTATCCGCAAGACGCGGTGCTTCGCCATTTCCACATTACCTAACTAACGCCTGTCGATTGTGTGCTGGTTCTTGTATAAGGTGTGGTGCGGCTTGTTGGTTGTGCTAAAAAGTTACAGGGAAGCTATTTCAAGGATACCGTCTTGTCTTGACGCGCTAGGCAACTTCCTGCTTGCTTAAAGTGACGAAGCAATAAAATTTTGTTTTCTTTTGAATTATACTAACCTTCAGTTATCGATCTTCATTTCCTTTTGACTGAAGAATTACTTTCCATCGCAATTTCGCAGCCCGTAATTACCAGTACCCAATGCTTTTCTACTTTTCGTTGAGATGGTTCATCACGGTTGTGTGGTTATCAGTAGCTAAGTGAATCCCTTTGTTGGCTATCTCGACATTCCGAGTCTAAATTGACATTATTTCTTTGATTGCAACATTTTGAGGAAATTTGATTCATTGCTGTCATGTACATCCCAACTTCTCCATTGGCCTTGCCTGTTATGCGATGTTTACTGTTTAGATGGTTTCAAACTATAAATTCGAGGCTGGAATAAATGTATCAACTCCTTCGAGCGTGCTAAAATCTACTTCGACTATTTTTACATTTCACCCTCTCTAAGTGCTTCCCCGCAGCAATACTGGAGATGTCTTTTCTTCCTCATAGTTTGTAAACTATCGTTACCACTCACTCTGATGGGAAGATGTTGCCTGATTGTCCTGCTTTCCATTTTTCGGGTATATATGTCTCACCAACTGTTGTACCAGGCCTTAGCACATAACTGGCCCTTCAAGGTGCGTGAATGACTGGCATGCGAATCGGATTTTCTGATCAACAGCAGACGCCTGCACACAGTAAGGAGCCATGAACGGTTTGTGCTAAGGCCTGNAAAATCTACTTCGACTATTTTTACATTTCACCCTCTCTAAGTGCTTCCCCGCAGCAATACTGGAGATGTCTTTTCTTCCTCATAGTTTGTAAACTATGATTCGTTACCACTCTGATAGGAAGATGTTGCCTCATTGTCCTGCTTTCCGTTTTTCGTGTATATGTCTCACCAACTGTTGTACCAGGATTTCTTCCTCATAGTTTGTAAACTATGATTAGTTACCACTCTGATGGGAAGATGTTGCCTGATTGTCCTGCTTTCCATTTTTCGGGTATATATGTCTCACCAACTGTTGTACCAGGCCTTAGCACATAACTGGCCCTTCAAGGTGCGTGAATGACTGGCATGTGAATCGGATTTTCTGATCAACAGCAGACGCCTGCACACAGTAAGGAGCCATGAACGATTTGTGCGGAGCCGAATGTGCCCAAACCAAGCGAATAAGATCGAGTGACGGACGTACCGAAGCCCGCTGCAAGTCACCAGTCGGCCTTAAAATGTTGTCATAATACTGGGCGCCATCACCAGTTGCCTGTTCATAAGCGTCCGTCGGTTCATTTGTGTTTCAGCTTAATAATAACATGATGCAAGCGGAAGCCGCCTCTTAAACAGAACGTCAAGGTAGCAGATATAGCTGAACCGAGCCTGGAGCTGTTTGTTGCAGTTATTAACTCCATGGTGGTTCGTGGACATGCTTTGTGGCTTCAAGTCAAGTGTGACTGGAGACCTCTGGCTTCACCTCTCCCTAATTCACTAAAGATTCCTGTGTATGCTTCATGATCTCTTGAGGTTGTTTGTCGTTTATGTCTACATCATTTTAACTTGAAAGGCAGGACTAATGACTTCATGTACAGGAGATCCAATTGCATACTATGTCCATCGCTTGTTTCCCAACATTGGAAACAAACCTTAAGGTTGAAGTCCAAAGTCTCTGAGTGCGAAACAGACGGAACGTTTGCGTGAGAGTCAACGGGTCTTATGGACAAGTAAGAAATAGCTCCACAACCATTGATGAAGTCACATTTCCCCTAAATGTTACCAAGTGTCGATCCTGAAGTAGGGATGCTTACTATGAGCAGACCAGGCAAAATAATGTATGGAAGCAAAACTTACTGGGTAAGACGTAAAGCTGAAAACAGATCAATTGATAACTTGATGGATGTCTTGTTGACCTGTATTTATAATAGCAATGAGTGTGGGTCCAAGTAAGTAGACAGTGTATACTCGTGCTGACTACGTTGCAGACGGTGAGAACGAATTTTTATCCTGCAGTACGTTGATTGAGTAGCCTGCATTTGTCATTCTCGTAAGCATTGGCACTGTGGGTTGGATTCACTTACGATTCTGTCGTTGTTGAATCAGCTTCGCTAGGTTTCAGTCCGAAAATAAACTAGTCGCACAACCAGCCTACCTTCCGGGACGATGATCAGAGCAACTGAGTAGGTTCTTCACTAGGCTCGTCTGATCCTAAAACTGGAAGTCAGAGAATTTTCAATAAAGTATGAGAAAATCTTTCTCCGTAATCGCGATGATCAATCAAGGGTATAAGTGAATTGTCTCCATTTCGAGCCTTCACGTTGTACTGTAGTAGAGTGTCGGGATGGTATCAATTTTTTACAGTGTGCCACTTCGATTCACTCTCAGTCTACACTGTGATCCACCTAACTGGTGTAGTGTACGAGTTCTGTGGCTACAGAGACGTTTGCATCGACAGGGTGGACAGACTGTTGGCAGAATATACGGCAGAACACATTAAAATAATGTAATCCATATATCAGGAATCCGTGGAGTAGGAGGTCAGCTCGCAATGCTGCATCCTCAGTAGCCAGATGTCTATTAGATACTGGCCATCGAATTGACTCAGTCAACACCTTCCGAATTTTTGTTGCACGAAATAAATATCAATGTCCTGGCGCTAAATAAAGCGCTGCTCATCAAACCAAACCAGCTCCGACTATATACACAAGAAGAGTTGGAGCAAGCGATTTGGTTGGCCGGGAGTTGATCAGGTGAACTGCACAAATTAACCAATGAGTGTTTCTTCGATATCGTTTCTACTCTTTATTCATGTAAATGGCATTTTTGTGTCCGCGACTGAAAGGGGCAAAAAATATTAACATATTGGAGCTTTCGATATCACTCAGTAGTTAGAGCGCGAATTTACTGGTCCTGGTCCCTGGTTGGAACCCGACCTCTTTTTTTGGCCTCCCTTGTCTGGGTAACCTGGCATTATCCCAGCCCTCGTGCTTCCTTTGGGTAACATAACAGTTGGGCACCGAAAGGGTGTTTCAGCTGAGCGGTATCGTTCACGTTTTCAATCAGTTCTGATGGGACGGATAACGGGGACATCTTGTTTCAAAAAGTAAATAGCTTGTTCCTCAGTGCAGGAATTCCCAATGTGCTGGCAGTGGTATCCCAACGACGTGCGTTACTAAAGTCGAGGGCAGCAGTCTTTCCAAAAAGTAGCTCGCCAACGTGCAATAATTTCACTTTCCGGAAAATAAATTACCCACTAAAGTTTACCACCACAATGGAGGGAGTTTCTGACAGTCCGAAACGAAGCGTTTACACGCAGCATCAAATGCTTTTTTTATCCACAATGCACATATCTATGGATAGCAGTCTGCAAATGCCTAAGTACATCCTCGCCATACCATTGGGGCGAATCTCAAAGATGCGGGTGATGGGAACATAGTCGAGCGGTTGGAACTAACTGTGCAAAATTACTGCACCTGTTTAGCCAGTTATTATGGATTCAGCCAATACTAAGTGGGCAGAAAACTCTTCAGGTTGATGAAGAAAATCGCACGGTTCTGACAAGGCCTCCAGTATAGTGGGTGACCAAATGAGTGCGTTGAGTAAGGCAGTCTTCCCCACTTAACTTTACAGACCGCAACTTCACTGCCTGGCCGTGGTGGCGCCTACATTTGAAGGGGTGTTTACCTGTCAAGGATACTTACATGGATAGATGTTTGGGCCGAGGCTTCTTCAATCCATGCTTTGAAAAGGGGATGTGGTTAGCTCTCAGGTTGCTGTTCGAGTATGTTTGTGTTAGGTGTGACCATATCGGTTTGTTTCGCCTGATGAAGGACGCACTCTTCGTTCTGTAATGATAACAGGGCAGAAGTCGTCCACTGGATATGTGGCTCCAGTTGTTTAAGAGCACATCTTTTACCATGTCTGGATAGCTTGCTCGCTGGTGAGTAGTCAGTCAACCAAAGTGCTGTTTGAAGACTGTACATTAAGCTAGAAGGACTTTCGAGATGTGGTAGATTTTCCTTCGTTGCTGATAGTCGACGTAGGATCAACATTAGCTGGTATTTTGGCAGTTGTATTGAACGCCGGTTTTCTGCGACGAAATCGGGGGGTTTGTACAAGACCAGGTTATGAACGCTATCCCTGTATTGTCAAAGAGGATACTCACTTGTCAAAATACGCCCATTTGTAAGTTAATTTAGTGTTAAATGGTGACGACTGGATTCCCTTTAATCTTTCGTTTATGGTAGACTTTTGCACAAAGACCGCCTCAATTTTCGGTCGGCACGATTATCGAGATATCGCAGTACATTGTCCAAACGGAACGCACTACTCATAAGTTTGCTGAGAACTCTTCGAGTGTTATTTTTTTCTTTGGATTCATTTGAAAACCCAAGGTGGTCGACTGACGGAAACTCGCACGCTGCGTCCACCTGATGAGCTCCAGGAAAGATGAAACCCGTCATGAGCTACCCGAATGTTTCAGTAACCTTATTGGTAGAATGCTCAGTTTTGCCACCCGAAAAGGTAATCACCCAAAAGGGCAGTCAGTCTGAATCTTCTCAATCTTCAGCCAAATTGGAATGAAACGAGGGATCCAAAATGACAGTGTGCACTGGTGTGGACTACTGTATGTCAAATGCAGACATCTGCGTACTTAGTTGAATGACATCGTATCAATGGTACTGCATGTTTTGCAGTTCAGCGTTGCGTGTTACCGTGAATCACTTGCGTAAAAGAAATTGTTAGCATTGTCTGTACGACATATTAAGATTTATCACTGTGCGCAACTGAAATGGCGTGCAATGCACCTTGTGGTGAAAGGGAAAATCTATTCCCATGAATACCTACAGCCATTTTCCTAAGATGGAGTAGTCGCTGTTCGATTCCGAGTGGATATTTCCTATTTCAAGGGAATCATTTACAGGCCAAAGCGACAAGTGGCTTCTCACACCCTGAGGTGCGAAAAACTACTCCTTTTGAGAAACTCGCTTACTCATTTCTCTTGTCTGGCCGTCGGATTGGTATTGGAAGTTCAGTACCGGGCGCAACAGCTCACTTACCAGCTTGCGCCTCGGCAGACTACACTGCGGACGCCGAAGAAAGGATAATCTCTGAAAAAAACCTCTCTGTGCTACTTTGCAGGATGAAGATCCGTTTCATTATAATCTTTATGGACCCGGTGTTATACTTTTCTCACATTGACTCGTACGCTTCAACCTTTAAGTGCATTTCGCTTCGACTTTTCTGAATCCCACTGATCAGGAAATCGAAACCCTGGGGACCTTGCTAACGTCAATCAAAGTCAAAATCGGTACGAAATCGCATGCGGAAGTTGTTGCTCACTCTTCCGAATATTTGAGCGCGATTTCTGAGATACATCGCAGATCACTGACAGCATTTGTCAGTGCCCCGGTACCGGCTGATTTCGTTAGGTACGTCTGTTGAGCCGTGTATAATCGCACAGTGACCTTTTTTCGTTTGATCCTTTTTCCTCATTAGATTGCTCCTAGTATAAGGTTGATAGAAGACAGCGTCACTGCCATAGAGTAGACACGTTACGGGCTCATTTTTTATCGACGTACTAGTAACTTTAGGAGTCTTTTTACTCATGCTTGTTAAAATTATGTTTTCGATTTCCACTTTCGTACTTTGTCTTATTGGTTCTCGCTCCGATGACTCTGCCTGATTCCCACTGTGCTAAACCAGCTGTATTGAGCGGAAGCTCCAAATCTGTATTGGCGTTCCACACAGATGAGGCTGTGATAATTTATTCTGAGCCCTCAAGTAGATGTCGCTGTGCTAAAACCCCACCAGAACTGGTTTTACAATATTGCTTAAAATGTGGCAGTTGTTTTTGGGCTAGAAATCACGGCGAAACAATCTACCCATCCCTGACGTATTGATTGGTTTCCTTTAGGGGTTCCCTCTCTAGACTTGAGCAACCTCGTGCTTTCTTCGGGCGGCATGGCAGCTAGGCACCGGGAGCTTGTTACCGCTGAACCACTTTTTTTAGAGGGGTCTTGAGGATATGCGACCTTTGTGATCAGCTTTAACCTCTTCATCGCCCATCAACAGATATCAAAACGAGCTATAGCTCAATACTCCATAGCACGAAGCAAAGCAATCGTGTTTATGCCATAAGTCACAACTCTGAGCTGAAACGTCCTCCCTGTTTGCCCGATACACTAACCAATTAGGGCGATCCCATGTTCGGTCCGCAACTGCCGCCTTGGTGCATTGTTGTCTTACTACAGATGATACTGCAACAACCATATTGGCGCTTGGCTCGCTGTTTCTCTCATTACTATGTATCAGAAGAATCGGCGACTTGAGATACCGTTAATGGATACAAAAGAACACTGTTATAACAGTATTTATAAGATGATAACATGATTCACCTAGACTGGATCTCTTCCCTACATTCACAGTCGTCCCATCGACGTGACCATGTCCATGCAGATACCGTAGCCATCTTTTTCTGGCTTTAAGTTACGATGATTCACTCTGTTTGGGTTGCAAAACTTTCAGCCAGCGGAAGTAGTTGGTGAAATTAATGCTCAGCCAAACATAGGGGGTGATTTTCGCTGCCATTCGTTTGGAACCTTCGCGATTTAGAGCCATTCCCCAACTAGTATTAGTGTTTTGCGACAAAGCTATCGACTTCCTGGAGGAATGTTATAATTCTAGAGGCAGATCTAACCTTGTGTTTTGTTGATTACCAGCGTGACCTTTTAAAAGAGAGATTTTCAGTCTATACAAAAGTGGTATCCTATGGAGAGGTCTAGGCCAAACCGATGCGTAGTAGAATAGGATCTTATTGCGAGTAGAACATTGAAAGATACAGTTTCGTCAAAACACCTGAGGTGGTGAATAAAAGGTAGCACTGCAGCGTTCGTGAATTCTTAGTCGAGGCGTTGAGAAGGATGCATTTCACCGTTTCTTTTCAGATGTCTACCTAAGAACTGCATGGGATAAATGAATGAAACAGAACAAGAGTAAAGACCATTGGGATTTCGAAAACCATTCAGTCACCAACGATATGATTGATTTCATCTCTTCACACAGTTCTAAGAGCAGTGGATTCGGCACACTGAAGCATCTTATCCGTGGTTACCCTGCACATGATGTGGAATACAGTCACCAAGTGGATACAGTATCCGCTTTCAAGTGGATGACGAACCATTGTTGAAGTGGGAGTCAATTGTGCGAATTATTTGGGCTTGGTGAGACTTACCGTCTCATTCGCCGCTTCATCTGCTTCTACCAGTTTAATTCCAAGTTGCCGAAGTAGATGGCTTAGCGCGTAAAACGGTTAAAAAAAAGACGAAACATGGTGTGCTGTGAGGTTTGTCGGTACTTGACAACTGATAGTAAACGCTCCTCTCAGCTCGCTACTGTTATCCCCCCTGAAATACGGTCTACAATGGCTTCAGCGTTGCCTAGGTTGCACCGGATGGGGATAGCAGATGGTAAACACTTGGCGACTGCATGACTTGGACAACCACCGCAGTTGTGAAAATGACTTTACGAAATGGTCGCTATTTTTAATGTTACCCAGTCTGTCCTTCCTATCCGCTCTATACGGGCGTCTTGGTCTCAGTGCTACCATGTAAGGTTACCCTTGATACCTGATTGGTAGGAATTGAACCCCTCACAACCATGTCAAGATCCGTAAATCACTTTTCCCACTTAATTTAGTTCGTTATCCGGTACTTTTGCTGTTTATGAGTGCTCTTGTGCTCGCCTTCATGATAACTCCAGGTCACTCAGCTACATCTTTCCTGCCTCAGCTGTATGTTCATCGAGTATGATGCTCCATACTATCTCTGCAACTTTTCTGCTACTTAGCGCAGCCATTTCACTATTACTTCTCTTTCATTTATGACCAACAAGATGTGTTTGTACGCTAACTTTATTTGTTCCTTGTGCCCCATGCAGCGAAATCGTCCCTCCATATGAGTCCAGCACGTTCACACTGCACAACTATTCCATCCTTCGTCAGCGAGCGGACCCAGTGTTCAGTCAACCACTTCACATCGGTCGTCTGAGCTGGCGGATCAAAGTATACCCGGATGGTAATGGTGTGGGCCGAGGAAACTATCTTTCGGTCTTCATCGAACTCACGACGACTCCTATAGAACCATCAAAGTAAAGTTCATCATCATAGCATTTCGACGGTGTTTGCTTCCGTTTTCCTGATTGTCCTACTTTAGTACACTTAATGTCACCTTTATATTAACCTATATGGACTCTGTGACAATTAAGTAGTTTCCTGTGTTTAGTCGGTCTGCGACTTGTTTCATTTTTTGTCACGTTAACTTTCATTCGCGTTCCATGAAGTTAGGACAGTCTCAGCTACCTAATAATTCAATTTCTGATGGAGAACATGAAACCACTTTTGCATCCCTATGTCAGTTTGCGTCACAATAAGTGATCGACCGGACGTAGAGGTATTTTTTACGGGTACTTTATTTCGAAAATATGAGTATGAAGCGTTTGTCGAAATTAGGTCGGTAATGGTCAGGGCCACACATCCCTATGTGGCTGTTTTAGTTTACCGATTTCGGCCAGTTTCAACTGGTGGAATGTGGATTAAGCCACGACTTGAAACAAGTGCCTGGCCCAGCAACGTCCTTCGCGTGTATGCTGCCATCACTCTAGATTGTGACTGTGGAACGGTACCCATACATAGGTCAAAGTCCCGGTAGATGGTTTATGTGGTCCGTGACATGCACATCTCCTGGCTATTCCGGACATTTACTTTAGCGAATTATTTGCGTGTTCTCAAAAGTGATCAAATGGGAGAGTTGGGAGAATATTTGGGTTCACTTCGGGCAGCCGCATCTCTTTGAGAGTCTTTTTGGAAGTTAATCTGTTTATATCCCCAATGCTTCAAGCCTTTCCACCGACACGTGATGCACGAAGCTGGTGCGCATTTAAGTCCTTGTTGCACCATCAACGGGTACTGAAAGGGTGGCAACTGCGACTGCGAGCTATGAATCTGACAAAGTCCGTTTAATTCGAATGTGTTCGGAACTATGGGTCTAAGTGAGAACAGGCTACCAAAGAACGGGTTCAGTCTCCTATTAACCCCAAGAATTGCAGATGCCCATTTGGCGATTTGACGATGTCTATTTTTAAGCTTTTAGATGTCATATCTTAGTCGAATCTTTACTTGTTGAAGCGCAACAGTTTTCTGGTCTCAGTTCGTCAGGTTCAGGTTTAACCATGAAGAAAAAATATTGCCCCACTTTGTACGTTTATCTAAACCCACAGTGTGATCGTAGTTAGTTTTTGGATTTTGTTTGCGCAAGCCAGTTTGCACTGGTTTGGTATTAGGAGAACATCCAACCCTATTGACTATTATCTTGTTTTATTCAGAGAGATCCGAACTTCCCATACACTAGGTCACGAGACAATCACTTTAAGTAAGTTCCGAATAGAATGAAAAGAACTTTCGTGACCATACTTCGTCCCATAGCGTTTTCACTGATGNCTCTATACGGGCGTCTTGGTCTCAGTGCTACCATGTAAGGTTACCCTTGATACCTGATTGGTAGGAATTGAACCCCTCACAACCATATCAAGATCCGTAAATCACTTTTCCCACTTAATTTAGTTCGTTATCCGGTACTTTTGCTGTTTATGAGTGCTCTTGTGCTCGCCTTCATGATAACTCCAGGTCACTCAGCTACATCTTTCCTGCCTCAGCTGTATGTTCATCGAGTATGATGCTCCATACTATCTCTGCAACTTTTCTGCTACTTAGCGCAGCCATTTCACTATTACTTCTCTTTCATTTATGACCAACAAGATGTGTTTGTACGCTAACTTTATTTGTTCCTTGTGCCCCATGCAGCGAAATCGTCCCTCCATATGAGTCCAGCACGTTCACACTGCACAACTATTCCATCCTTCGTCAGCGAGCGGACCCAGTGTTCAGTCAACCACTTCACATCGGTCGTCTGAGCTGGCGGATCAAAGTATACCCGGATGGTAATGGTGTGGGCCGAGGAAACTATCTTTCGGTCTTCATCGAACTCACGACGACTCCTATAGAACCATCAAAGTAAAGTTCATCATCATAGCATTTCGACGGTGTTTGCTTCCGTTTTCCTGATTGTCCTACTTTAGTACACTCTTAATGTCACCTTTATATTAACCTATATGGACTCTGTGACAATTAAGTAGTTTCCTGTGTTTAGTCGGTCTGCGACTTGTTTCATTTTTTGTCACGTTAACTTTCATTCGCGTTCCATGAAGTTAGGACAGTCTCAGCTACCTAATAATTCAATTTCTGATGGAGAACATGAAACCACTTTTGCATCCCTATGTCAGTTTGCGTCACAATAAGTGATCGACCGGACGTAGAGGTATTTTTTACGGGTACTTTATTTCGAAAATATGAGTATGAAGCGTTTGTCGAAATTAGGTCGGTAATGGTCAGGGCCACACATCCCTATGTGGCTGTTTTAGTTTACCGATTTCGGCCAGTTTCAACTGGTGGAATGTGGATTAAGCCACGACTTGAAACAAGTGCCTGGCCCAGCAAGGCCCTTCGCGTGTATGCTGCCATCACTCTAGATTGTGACTGTGGAACGGTACCCATACATAGGTCAAAGTCCCGGTAGATGGTTATGTGGTCCAAGTGCCTGGCCCAGCAACGTCCTTCGCGTGTATGCTGCCATCACTCTAGATTGTGACTGTGGAACGGTACCCATACATAGGTCAAAGTCCCGGTAGATGGTTTATGTGGTCCGTGACATGCACATCTCCTGGCTATTCCGGACATTTACTTTAGCGAATTATTTGCGTGTTCTCAAAAGTGATCAAATGGGAGAGTTGGGAGAATATTTGGGTTCACTTCGGGCAGCCGCATCTCTTTGAGAGTCTTTTTGGAAGTTAATCTGTTTATATCCCCAATGCTTCAAGCCTTTCCACCGACACGTGATGCACGAAGCTGGTGCGCATTTAAGTCCTTGTTGCACCATCAACGGGTACTGAAAGGGTGGCAACTGCGACTGCGAGCTATGAATCTGACAAAGTCCGTTTAATTCGAATGTGTTCGGAACTATGGGTCTAAGTGAGAACAGGCTACCAAAGAACGGGTTCAGTCTCCTATTAACCCCAAGAATTGCAGATGCCCATTTGGCGATTTGACGATGTCTATTTTTAAGCTTTTAGATGTCATATCTTAGTCGAATCTTTACTTGTTGAAGCGCAACAGTTTTCTGGTCTCAGTTCGTCAGGTTCAGGTTTAACCATGAAGAAAAAATATTGCCCCACTTTGTACGTTTATCTAAACCCACAGTGTGATCGTAGTTAGTTTTTGGATTTTGTTTGCGCAAGCCAGTTTGCACTGGTTTGGTATTAGGAGAACATCCAACCCTATTGACTATTATCTTGTTTTATTCAGAGAGATCCGAACTTCCCATACACTAGGTCACGAGACAATCACTTTAAGTAAGTTCCGAATAGAATGAAAAGAACTTTCGTGACCATACTTCGTCCCATAGCGTTTTCACTGATGCGGCCAATCGGACAATCTACTGTCCGATGGCACACTTTACTGAAGTCCTCCGACCACAAGTTCACTTAAACGGTATAATCCTGAAAAGCTGGTCGACATTACACCTTAGGGTGGGTGATACATCTGTAGCGAGACTTCCCATGAAGACGAAGTTACCGATCTTGACAGGAAGGATACCTAGTTCGACTGCAGGCTCACTGATAGTTCTTTAGGGTTTCGTTGTTAAACCAATGAAGCTCATGTTTGATTTGTACGCCCAGGTTGGCAGTTCTGTTACGATCTTTTTGTCACCAATCAAGTAACATCATCAGTACACATTAGTGTAGTGACGCGTCGCTATAGAATTCCACACACATTTGTAACCATGTTCCCAACTCAGTCAACAACTCCACCGTCAAGTTTATAAACTGAGCTCTCCATACTAAACCGACGGAGAGAATCGAAAGCGTCTTGAATTGCATTTGGTCTTTTTGAACGGGGTGCGTGGGTAGTGAGAGCCAGATGGTGGTGTTCCTCACTCGTGGATTACTTGCAAAAAATTGCACTAACCCTAAATTTTATGCTTTGTATTTCACTCAGAGAGAATCTATTCTGTACATTATGCGCCCTCTGAGCTGACGCTAATCAGCCGAGGAAACTGAGCAATTTTCTCGAACATTTTTCCGCGCTAAGCTTAGCTTTTTAAGGTCAACCTCGCGTATTAATTACGGAGGCCTCTCAACTAATCCTTCTTAAACTGCGTTAGTTTTCAGCTTATGCTGAGAAGGGAAAGGCACCCTGCAATTGTTATTGGGACTGATTGGTGTGGATCCCGCTGTGATCTAAACCCGCAACTTTCCTATTGGTAGTTGAACTTCCTTTCTGAGCCACAGTCCATTGATCAGCGTTGGTCAACTCGAACTTATGCAAAATATCTTTGGTCGCACACTAGTGCATTATGCATCAAGTACTATGAAATACTCCATTTTCGTTCCTGAGTGGTGCTTGCTAAGAGTGATTTTTCCGAACAAATCTCCCGTATTTGTATACAAAAGCAGACGCCCAAAAACATGTCAGAAAACTTATGTACAGCTTGCATGTAACAACAATATTTCTGGAGGCATTCGGGGGATACTGCAGCTTGATTGGCTGTTGGAACCATCTTTCGACTAGTCACATCTAGCCATGTTCGGTGTTGTGAATGAAATCCATTGGAAGGGGATCATCGCGCAACTGACGTTAGTGGATATTATCCCTTGTCAATCGCTCAGATCAACTGCTTTACGAAGGTCACTGACCTCTATACAGATATATCCCCCGACCAAGTTGTTAGCAATCTGGTTCGATTTTTCGATCTTATGGCTTTAGCTGGAGCCGTTAGTTCTCCTCCAATCCAGATGTGACTACCAATAGTCATTTGTAAGCATATTTCTAGTTCTTAGTGCATTTCAATTAGCCCAAAAATTAACTACAGCCTTGATGGCAGCGAGGACATATTTCTCGTCAAACTGACAAAAATTGGTATTGTACGACAGCGTTATTGGTTGTAATACACCAATTGCAGGCCAAATATTACGCAATCCTTTGCTCCACATCTTATTCACATCTCATGGTAAGGAGTACGTTATCCTCACATGTTAGCCGGTGAATATGTATTTTTCTCCCTACAAGAAATTCTCAAAGTATGCCGATATTGCGGAAACGGCATTTTCTCTTTGTAAGTAACCCCACCTAAGGAACGCTTTAAGCTGGTGTTTTTACGGACAGTTTCTTTCCATTGCTGTGGATCCTCTGTCAGCGCAGTTCCTCTTATTCAAGTATAGCTAAAACCACCACCAGTCAATTCAGTTCAGTTTTCCAACTCACTAACCGTGCTTCGAAATGCAGCGATTTCAGCTACTACAGCTTCGTTCATCGAGGACTAGGGGAATAAAGGAGTGAGGTTCAGGTGATAGAGGGGATGGACCATTCAGTTCATTGGCGTTTTTTGTTCGGTGTGAGATCTTCGAAGAGAAAGTGATGGCTTCCATGCAAGACCGCAACTGGCTGTAACGCAGCCATATGTTTCAGGGTCACCAACTATTGGTTTTCTTGCCCCGCCTTCCCCATCCTGGGAGGCAGGAGTTACCAACCTGACTGGGTTGACTGGTAAGGACTTCGTTGCCTCCATCCAATGCATGACCGGACGTAGTGCTCTACGAGGCAAATGGTTCCCTGCTATACGAAGTACATGGCCTGAGAGCGTAACCTGTGGAGTGTGAACAGCCTTTCTATCGAGTATGGACTTTCCCGAAAACCATCTGCTGTACTTCAGCATTACGGATCTGATTTTGCCACCTGATCCGCGCAACGCTTCTGAGGCATCGATGATCAAACAGACTCCAGAAACCTTCCACGCGCAGCGGCTACGTCTTTGTCCCATAAGGTAGGGCAGATCGGACTACGGCACCATACCCTGTTTCCCTGGCAGCCAAGCTGATGTCACGTCGGTGTCACAACCGTCTGAGGTTAGAAAACACTGTCATGGCCTTCCTACTTCGAGAAGTAATTTCATCTTTCATCAGTCCTTCGGGACTTGCGCAGCTGTGCAGATAGACGAACCTATCTGTCACATCGATCGATTGATCTGCAAGTATGAGGTTTAAGTTTGATTCCGGCCAATCTTGCAGCAGCGTTTTACACTTTGCGGGTGAGAAGCGCATCCCGAACTCTTCAGCAGAATTATTTAGGTTATTTAAGACAGTTTGCAGTTCTAAAGCGTCGGATCCTAGGAGAGCAATATCGCTGACGTGCTCAGTGTCTGTGACATGTACAGGTCCAAGGCAAGGGATCTATAGAGCATTTATAAGAGACGAGTGTTCAGAAAGGGCACCCTTCATTTCTGACGATCAACGGAGTTGAAAGCAGATCGAGAAAACCTTTCAGTGTTGGTCCTTTGAAGAAGTGGCGCAGTTCGAACACCTGTCGCAAACGGAAGTTTTGATCGATGTAGCCCCATCCAAGGCGGAAACCAGCTTGATTCTCGCGGATCTGATCCACCGATGATGGATCAGAATTCGTAGGATGTTACCAGAGAAACGCTTGTCAGCTCTGACTAGTGAACTGATGCCTCAGTAGTTTCTACACGATGCTGTTGTGCACTATTTTGGAATAGGGGAATCACCTTCGATGCGGTCCATTCTCCCCGTACTCCAGATCCATATGTTGTTGGACATTGTCACGTGTGGTGCAGGTCAGAAGAAGGTATACATAAGGAAGTCGTTCAGTGGAAGCTTTTGCGCTCAAAGGAAGATGGTTCATGTGAGAAAGTGTGTTTTCCATGAACCAGTGGAAACGGTTACAATATTTTCCTCAAGCCGAGAAAAAGTGTGAGCATTTATGCGCAATTTAGTAACTTTCCAAGAATATCGATACTGTATTTTTTATTGATCTTGTTGGTACGACCTCTGTATTGTCATTACTTTCAGCGTAAGAAAATTCAAATGTGAGCTCAGGACTAAAAAGGAAACAGCTGATCGATTTCTTGGATGCTGGACAATCCCATTTTTTCACTTCGGGAGGCCTATTTTCTAATGTTACCTTTCAGAATAACGTTCATCACGTGAACTACACATTCTTTTTGGTTTTCCTCTTAGTGGTAACGCACACTATTGTATGACTTGTTGGAAATTTTTTGGAATAATTGGCATGCTATTTGATTAAAGTTACGGTCTTCAAACTCACGATCTCTGTACGCAGGTACGAATACCGCATCGAAATGGTTCACCAGGCGTCACGCGATCCGGGTCGTAGCGTTGTGCGCGAGTTCACTTCTCACTTTGAAGGCGGCGAATGTTGGGGATACAACAGATTTTTTCGCTTGGATTTGTTGGCCAGCGAGGGATATCTAGACGTTGAAACGGATACGTTGGTTATCAACTTTCAGGTAAGCTTCTAAAGACAACTCAGGAGGGAGCGTATATGTTTTCTGTCTCAAGATTGCTTTCATTGTCGGGATTTAGTAATGTCTACGTTGGACATCCTGCACGGTTTGTATATGATTCGGACTTATCTAGAATAATCCTCGCAATGTTTACTGGAGGTTGCGCCACGGATATACAGAATCAACTAACTGTTATTCTTGTTCTGTGTTGCCTTTGCTGTCTAGTGTCCAAAAGTGTTGACATTTTTTACGAAAGTATCACCGTTGGAGTAAAACTACCTACAGTGACGTACGGTGAAAGGGGGAACACCACCTGACTCACGTAATATAATATAATGATACTGACGAACTAAGCCACACTACAACGTTCCTTTTTGGTATGCACTTACAGTCGCTCGTTTTCAATGAGAGTCGAAAATTATATGGATATTTTGGGCGTTGATGTGCATCGCTGGAGTCCACAGGCCAAGAATATCCTCTTGACCACTTAGTATCTACTTGGTTTCGGTCTAACGGTTATAAGAAAATTCCCTCCTTTAAAAGGTCATCACGTCGTCCTGAATATTAGTACACTTTGGCGGCAGCGCAAAGTTTTTATACAGTGAAGTCAAGTTCTTTTGCCGCCAACTATAGAAGCTATGTAACGGGTTTTTCCCATGTTCTCATCTCTTTCTCGCAATATCCGATGCCAGTAAAGGCAAAAAGTGGTTGCTTTTCTTCTTGAAGTAGACTATTCACAACTTTGCTGAGTACTTTTCGGCAGTCCACAACCGGTTTCGCCCTCTTGTGAATTATCAACTGGGCGCACTCTCAGAGTTTCTGTTAATCTCATGTTCCACTTGAACTCGAATGGGACGAAATTCGCCAAATGCTCTCATCAACACACCAATTTAATTTTAACGGAAAACTCAGTTAGATACAGTTGATTTACCCCTTTAAAGTGACCTTGTTCAACTGAATGCATTGCTTTGGGGGGCCTCAGGTTTCAGTTGGTACAACGTTCGAGATGTCAAGTACGTGTAGATGTAACTCGGGGACTGCGTCTACCTAATGAGTCCCAAGAAGGACTGAACCGCCTGTGAACTGTCAAAGGGTTTTCAGCAACCTTGTGAGTAGTTTCTTTCAATAAAATATACTGCGGTATCTAGACCATCATACCGAATGAAACTGAGCCGACGCTTGTTCACTACCTCCACTTGAAAAAAGTCGTCAAAGAGAGGTCAAGCTGTTTTTCAGTTGAGTTTCCCGTTAAAACTAAATTGGTGTGTAACTGGGAGTAGCTAGCGAACGGTCGCCTATCTTTTCGCCGTTTTTTTAATGGCTCGTTTCTTGGTGCGCCAGCGTTCATTATTAGGTTTCACGGCCTGTTATGCCTATAACCGGCTTGCTAGACATAGTATTTGAGCGTTTTAGTTGCCCCCTTCTGAGTGATTAGGCAGGCGAAATACCAATATTTTGAAATGCTGTGGCGTATTTGCAGTACCTAAGTTAGCCAACAGATGCCTGTACAAACATTCCGCCTGTCCTTTCCAATTGATTTGGTGGCGTGTCTCCATCACGTGATTCAATGTCGCGCTTTTTCCCCTCGCACTTGATACAGGTACATACGGGATGTTTTAATTTTATTCAACTTTCGCCCATTGCCGTCGGAATCTTTTAGCCTTCTTGTCTCTGATGATGAATACTTGATAGACCGCATTACAAATGGTAGCCACAGTGGATTGATATTACTTCATAAAATTTGACATCCACCGAACCCTGCCGACTGACTCCCCAACGGGATAACTGCGACCGCACACTGTTTGTGTTGAATCTTTTGAATGACGTGGTAAACACTGTGGGTTTGAAGTACAGTAAAGTTTCTAACGACTCCCTGTGATCAGTATTTCCTTGTCGCAATGGCCGGTTTTCTCTAATGATAGGCAATTCGCTACTCGATAATATATATCAATTTGGTTGGTTTGTTCAAACAGGATAAATACTGTACATAGTCCTCAGATGGTAGAAGGAAACTCTGCAAACAGCACGGATTCGAAACTGACTGTATTGAATCTTCAACCTCAGCTATTCTACTTGCGCGCGATTCCTATGCATTCACTCTAGATCTCTGCCTAATATTGTTTCACATCATGGTGATATATTTCTGTATACGTATGTGTTTACGATACCCTTACCCCGATTTATCCGAATCTTTCGGTCCAACGAATATCAGTTGCTCACTTGAACAAAAGCACACACTGTGGGTTTTATAATTATGAGCTGGCTATCCTTATTGTCCAGAAAATCGCATAGAGATCTGAGGTTAAGTCGATATGACCTGGAAGAACGCTTGTCGCTCGTTCACACATCCAGTGTGACCTCATAAACGAACTAATGGTGAAAATCGATTTGCAGGCAGTGCATTTGTTCACCCACGCTTGCTTTCTTTGGATTTTTACTGAATTTTTGCTCTTGGGCGTCGAATCGCCCAACAGGTTTCGACGTATTCTGTTGAAAGTGTTTCCTTCAACACTGTGAGCCTATTCTGTGCCCCATATGATTGTCCGGTGCCTATTTGGAAAAAGAACTTTGGTGGGCTTTCATCCTCAATATCTACCCGTTTACTATTCTCTAGCCTAGCCGGGTCCCGAGAGTAGCAGTACTTCAATTAGGTACAATAAAAATTGTTTTGAACTGGGTGCTGACTCCTATTCGGCGGTAATTGGTTACTTGAGTTAAAACGTGTAATGATTTCATGACAGGTTTGGCTAGTAATTATGATGACTAAGTAAGCATGGTTCTTATTTCTCCTGATCAACGAGTCTTGCCCATCTTTGTGTGCACCAAAATATCTGGGGGAATGTTTGTGATGGCTCCTTTTATGTTTCTGTTCTCTCCACAAAACTTTGTATTCTAGTCATTTTATTTGCCGTGTACTCACTTCTCCCTCAGGTTCGTGCCCCTACCTATTTCCAAAAATGTCGCGATCAACAGTGGCATATCGCGTATCTGGAAGCCACACGAGGTCAATGTTTCTCACAACTAGCGGAATTAAAGGAACGCTTGGAGCTGCAAATGACACAACAGGCCACACAACCCAGCACCTCTGAAGACGCAGCAGTTCGGGACAAGTCAGTGCCGCATGATTTCGCTTCATCTTCCGTCATTACCGGCCAGAATGTGGCAGTTACAGCTTCCGCAGGAGATGACGAATCACGCATTATCTCAGACACCGCGATATCAAAATATCCCATTCCAGAAAACGCTCCAAACCAGGCTGGTGAAGGTAATTTCACATCGCGCTCAGCAGATGAGGTACCACTTGGTCGGGCATCAGAATTAACTGGGCCACACTTACCTGGCTGGTGCAGCATGCTTAACTTCCCACTGAATGGCTCAGAGCAAGGTACAGAGAGTGATGCGATCGCATCCAGTCGAACAACACATGAGGACGATCGATCGGCGGGATTCGTTAACAGTCCATTAGAACCTTCCAGTGCCGATGTTGTGGAGGAAGAGAGCGATTCTGAACAGGGCACTGATCCTAATTTTCAGATCAGTGAGGTAAGTCGGTGCTTTTTTTGTCGTACCCTTCCCTCACTGACAGCCTTCGACCGATACTATTTTTGTTCTACTTTGTTTCGATGACACGCGGAATTGTTTCTCCTTTAACCTTTTCGTCGGTTCTCTGAATGGCAGGTCTCTGGGTACTAAATAAACGATGAGAAGTTCAATCTCGTCCTCAACATCTACTGTCCGATAGAATGTTCCGTCGTAGTTCGAAACCACTCCATGCCTTTCTTCCGAACGCACAGTTCAAGAACACGAGTAAAATTTTTCGGTATGATATACTTTGGTTAGGTAACTTCTCATCTCTTCGTGCAACTTTTATACTGAACCTGATAAGCTCTGCTCGACAGTTATAGCCTTCATGCCTTCATGGCCTTCGCCAAGGCAATTAACAATGGTGCTTAAACAGGACCAAGCTTTGCGTGAAAAAAGTTACTGCGACACTACTGCTCAACGACTGATTTTCATTGGTGTTGATTGTACTTGACGGAATGTCTGTTCCGTAAGTACGAACTCGAACGGAAACCGAATACTGCTCTAGATTTTACCCGTTACGTAGGTAACAGTCAAAGCAGGGCACGTGTGAATAGATCTGCTACAAGAGCATCCAATACTCAGGTGGGTATTTTCGGATAAATCGAATTGTTTGGCTGTACTATCGCTTCCTTGGTGCTTTCCAACGAGGTACAGCACCAATGCATAAGTTGGGCGATTTCTGTGGCATCCGTTCGTTCGGTCCGTGTTACCTAGCCCTCCACATGGCTGTGAAGCATCGTTGACCTATACAAGTACTTCATCTTGCTTCCACTTCTGTTATTGCTTTTTGTTTGGTGGACAGTACGCTTTTTCCCATCCCTTCACACACTCTAGTTCCGTGTTATGATAGCTGCCTCTTGTCTCCTATGTTCCCATCCCCCCTTCACAATACAGATTCGTATCTGAGTTATTATCGTATGACGTTCTGGTAGGAGCTTATTAGGCCTCAGAACGTTAGGTGAAACGCCAACAGTAGACAGCTACCCGTCGCAACAAACGCTGGACGACTGGAACAAATTCACTTACATTAGCCGACTAAAACTAAATAGTTCGTTTACCCATCGGGGTCGATAGCGTTGTCTGTGATCCCGTTAGTTTTGCGTGATCCGAAGTGGCAGACCTGTCATACCTGGAAATCACGAGTGAACTGAATAGATGTGATTGCGTTTAGTTTGCAACATGTGCCTAACACTCATTCTTATTTCTTGCCTACTTAGTGTTCAGTAGGTATCTGTTTCACTAACCAAGTGTTTGTATTCTTATCGGTATGTGTCAAGTTGTCCTCCTTTGCTACAGGACTGATTCCGTTCCTGGTTGAGATTTTCTGGACGTCCACAATTTTTATTCACCTGGTGCCTATTTTCCGTTCATCCTTCTCAGGTTTTGAACTTAGTGTATGCATTGTTCCGCTAAATTTCTGTTCTCTGTGCAGTCGTCAACAAATTACCTCTATCTTCTCTGGAATTAGACGGGTAATTGTCTGATTACTGTTGTTTTATGTTCAGGTAACGGCACAACCAACTTCCTTCAGCTACCCACCCCAACCCACGGTTGAGCCTCTTTTAGGCTTACTCGTATCATCCAACACTCAAAATCTTACCCGGTCCATTCTGTCCAGTGTTGACCTGAGCCCCTTCACTGCCTCGTATGACAGCGAAGATCAAGGGATAATCGGTCTGTTGCCTTCCCAAGAGGCAGCCGATAGGAATCATATGTATGAAACACTCGGAGACGGTGCGGAGCATAGGGATTCTGAAGAGGAGCGCAGTAACTTGGAGGAACCGGTGACCCAAAGTGAACACTCAGGTGACGCTGCTCTTCCGGGGTTAGTAGAACAACCAGTTGAGTTTAGTGAAGGTGACGACGATGGGTATGATGCTAATCAGCAAACAGGAGGTAGTGCTATGCACTCGCACCACAGCATGGAACAACATACGGATGAGGATGACTATCAAAGTTCTCAACACCAGGCTGACGATACAGACGAGTATGAATCCCTTTCAGCCGAGGATAGCCCTAGGACTCGATCCGAACCCAACCTCCGAAAACCCCTCAATCAAACTGCTGCTTCAACATCTGCGACAACAGCTGTTGCTTTTCAGCTTGCTCTGAACACCTCTAGCAGTTTTGAGAAACCTTTTGATTTTGATTGCGAAAATGAAAGTTCCGTGGATGAAGCCACTGATGACCACTTTGTTGCTTCAAGTCAGCTCAACAGCGTACACTGTCCTCATGCCTCTTTGAATCCCGAAACCGTATATCAAGCGGCTGATGATGGCCAAGACTGTTCAGGGAACTTCAGTCTGATAGAAGACATGTTGTGTTTACCGGCACCACGAAACACAACACCCAGTCGCCATCAACCTCATCACTGTAATGGCAACCAGAAACGGGATGCTTTCCGTCGCCGAAGCGATCGTAATAGTAGCAGACTGTTCCGCTTTCGATTCACGCCCAAACCACGCGGTAGCGGTGTTGCTGCTGGTGTTCGTAGCAACCTTAGATTTTTTAATAACGGTCCGGCAAATCGCTCCAGACATTTCGACGGATCACGGACGGCGATTTCCGAATCCGTGTTTACGTCAATAAACAGCTCTGATGAGCAGGAATGTCATCCGGACAAATCGAACTGGCACTGGAATCGTGCAATACCAACTTCTCAAGCTGTAAATGAGTAAGTTTTTCCACTGGTTATGGTTACCATTTTATGTTTCAGCCTCTCTTATGTATTATTTCTTATACTGATGACCCGGGGACTGGGACCCATCTCTGAACATGTAATCTGTAGCTGGCTGGATCTTTCATGAGGTATGGACACCCTCAGTGGATTGTAATTGTACGTCAGGTCGGGAAAAACCGTGCTTCATCAGTGCAACATCAGTGTTGGTACTGATGCATATATATATATATAAAGCCGTGCACTTAGGGGGGAATTTCCAACACGCAAAGTTACCGAGGATTTTGCAAAGAATATTAAAAATAAGAAAGATGGAATTAGGATTATGTTGTGGTGAACCTTGCTTCAAGCTATCCACCATCAAGGTAATGTCGGTTGGACATCGACGCAACAATACTTAGGTTAAGTTAGGTTTTTCTTCATCATCCCCATACTCATCGTTTTTTTCCGGCCACGCCCAAAGTGCTCAAATAAGGCACAATATAGTGGATAGTGGACATACGTAAAACGTGTCTCGACCCCCAGTCTTATTCAATTTTGAGTGGTCAGCATCCTAGTCATTGATGACGTGTTGTTTCCATAAGTATTGGCCATTCTGCGTAGGCAGCTATTTTCAGATACGCTCATCCGACGGGTATTATCTACGTCAGGAGGTCAGGTTTCATATTCATGGAGCCGAACTGCGCACACTAAGCAAGCAAATTTTACCCTTCAGAAGAGAGCGAATACTGTGACGACGGATCTTTGGGACTGCTCTGGATGTTTGAATACTGCTCTGGATTCGGTGATTCAGGGTGGTTCATCCCCTAACACATTCACTAGCATTCATGCAATCCTCAGTTAAACTGATTTGTTGAGTTTAACCAATGTTGTCACCTGAAGTTCTCGAAGGCACAACCACATACCTCAGTTTCGAAGACACGAAGTATATGACCAGCAGCACAGCTTTGATTTTTAGCCAACCTAATTCGATCCATACGATTTTGACGCATCACTGAAACTGAAAACTCTTCCAAAACCCAATATGGGTTTTGCCCTTCTCGGGGCTCACTAGATAAGTGTAGTTCGCGAGTTTTCATCAGCTTCGTTTTGCATTTGAACACCAGTTTTTAAGCCATCGCGGTAATACACTCCTTGCACATTAAAATTGGAACAGTCGACCGATCCTCAGCTGAGTGTCGTTTGTGATATTATTCATTTTATTCAACTTATTCCAGTGAGCATAATTCATCACATGCATATAACTTGATGTCCAAGTAAGACATAGGGTTGATGGAAACTCAGGGACAACGCCTACCTAGTGAAGGGCAAAGCTGGTACTGAGCTGCTGAACAATTTTCAGAAGCCCTATATGTAGTACATTGCGTCAAGAAATGTACTTCGTTATCTCGAATATCGTGTCGAGTGAAACATGAGACCGCCTTTCCTCAACAGATTCGGTTGGACAATAACATTAAGAAAAAGACAGGGATTCAGCTGGAATTCACTTGAGCTACCCGTCAGCATCAACTTGCAAAGGAGTGTATTTCGCCACTTACAATCCACGCTTGGGTATTGCCAGTCAAACTGATGCTTCTGGTGAATGTTGTGGCAGGACAGTGCAAGTCGGTAGTGTTGAGACTATACCTTATTAGACGGTGACCTGATTCCACCCAGCCGTGCACCGATAGTGTATCCTCGAATGATGGAGGAATGTCTGTAGGCCGATTATCAAGCTCGGTGAATAAATTAACAGCCACCGAATCAACTACCAACGTTGGTCTCATCAGTTCATTGGAACGAGGGAGAACGTCTGGATTTCGTGATGCAGTTGTGATGGTTCTTTTCTAAGTTTCGTGTTAAATGGTAGGATTACGGTGCTTTCTTTTTATGAAGATTTTTTTATTTAAGGATTGTATTCAGGGTAACAACCTTTGTGATCCAGTAGTTTTACAATGTGAATTCTAATTGCTACCAGAAAGCACGTTACCTTCAATCACCCCTACTTGACAGAAGCCACGGTACAGATAGAATGAAACAAACCCAGTCCTAATCATCCAAAGCGAACCGAGGAACGGCAGGTACCGTAATTGGACACAGCTGACGTTGTTTGTTCAACCTCTGCTAGAACAATAGGATAATTTTAGTGATGGCATCTTCACGGAGCTACTTATCGTTTTTCGATGTTACGATTTGACGATATAGGACAAAGCAGTCAGGAAAAGTCGGAGGCACATTTAGCATAAAGGAAACAAGGAAATAAACGTTTAAATTGCTAAAGCAGGTGGGCAATCCTGCAACCAAATCTCTCCGGACCGGTATGCCAGATTTGTCAGTAATTTGTCCTGGGTACTAACAATAAATTCATCTCTGGGTAGGTCTCTGTCTATGCATCATTTTGTAGCCTCATATGGGTCAAAAGGTAACCTTTCTAATTCTGGCATCCTTTTGGGTTGCAGCTCTCCATCACTCGATTTAAGAAGCAGTTAAAGTGCTCCAAAATGGCGTTTCTTAAAAATATGGTGTGCTGTTCCTGCCGCAGAAGGACAGTGTGAAGATCAAAAAGCTGAATGAGAGATAGCGCTGTCCACGTCTTGGTGAGACTCGGTTGTGAGCTATGCATGCTAACAGTTACATGGCGCTTTATCGTCATCATCATCCGCAACATGAAATCAGTCTTCAACACTGATGCTTCGCGCTCTATAACTAATGGCAGTCTTTTATAGAGTACTGCAGTAGTATACGAAAAGTTAGATGCCTCAGTCGTACTAGTTGGAATGGGCAGCTGCTTTTTTCCCTGTCAGGTCACTCTGGTTGTGGCGTGGATCAACAGTGTTGCATGTTTTCCGTGGAGGACGATCCTAATGAGTGTGAATTTCATTTTATGGAAGGACACACAGGCAAATTTACACACCAGCCAACAAGCCACTTCATCTTTTCCCAATTACTGGTGCTTTCCACTTGATTCGTTCATTCCCATGCATTATTTTTTATAGGCAAGGAAATCTTAACTATGGATCCGATCATGTTACACCGGCCCCATCCTCGAATTCCGCATTCCGATCCCTCGTTCACACCACACGATTTCCCGGGTTGAGCGCACAGACTGGAATAACCGATCAGAATAATGATTTTCTTTTGGTACAAGGTGCGTGCGCTGGAATTCATCAGACTGACGATCTACTCACAGGTGAGGACTGTAACGCCGTTCCGGTATCCCTTGCCAATCGCCTTTTCTTTCGACGCCTGAAGCGACTTTCAAAGGAGACACGTTTGTTGAAACAATCTATCCAGAACTTGGAGAATGACGTGGATAACGAAACAGGGACAGGTAATTGGTGTTACTTACAAACTTTTTTTGAATTTAGCCTAAATTTCCCACAGTCTTCCCCTTGTTTTTCCCCACCTTTTTGTTTACAACCGCCTCACCGTTATTGAAAAGTGTTAGAGCTATTACAATCTTGTTTGAGTCATTTACTCGCTGCTTATTGGTCACTCAGCAATGGCTGGTCCATGTTATACATTATTTTGGTGAGCACCTCAACATTTCAACCACCCACTACTCTGATTTTTTGGATACCCCTCCATATGCACTCTTGTGTATTCCCTTTGCTGCGTGGTCAGTATGAAAAGTATACTCAGCACCGCCACAAAATAGTTCGGAAAATCCTCGTAACGCCTTAGTATGTTGTTGTCCAGAATATATACGACATACAGCTGTTGTATTGTTGACTCACCGTTAATGTGCGACTAGCTTGCTTTGCTAGTGCGCAGTTAATTCGGGATGACTAAATAGCATTTCGCTTAGAACAAGAAGTCACCAGAGGACAGGTTAAAGTCATCTGTTATGTGGTACTTCATTGGCTATTTTGTACACATAATTCCTATGCTAGAACAAGATTATGAACAGATTTGTAACAGACAAGTGCGCGTAGATAAATAGGACCAGTACAGCGACCAACGGACATCACCATCTATAAACTATAAACTAGATTATAAACGTAATTCTTGACAAAGGTGTTCACTTGACAACATTAAGCCCACGCTTTCCGTAGATTCAGATGTGTTTACGCAGGTTTACCTTGCGACGCTTCCACAAAGCGTGATAGATGATTGTTATGATATTCGGTAAACTGGAAAGCCTGTCCTGGCCCCCTGCACTGTGGACACTGATGATGGGGAGCGCCAGAACTAGATAGGTTTCGAACCCGTTGGTGTCAGGTTCCTTGGGGCGTATCCACGAATCTTAGTGGACAACGGTGCCTCAGTTCTTTCGATACACGATCATTGCAAGTGCATTGAAAAAGTCGCATGTATGAGGAGATACTCCTAAGTTTGACTTAGCTTTGAGTGTCTTGAACTTGTTTGCCTCAACGGACGCTGGGGTCGCCTGTCTTTCTGATTAATTTAGAAGCCGTTTTCTTGGGGGAGAATGCTTTTCCCTCTTTTTTTCCACAGCAGTTCTGTACGTTAAAGTATATCTGTTTATGGAGCCCTTATTCCGCAATACGGTTATCACGCTTTGCCAACACTTCAATGCCTCGATAAGACAAATTTTCCTGGTTTTCGTAATCACACTTAGCTTCAAAGTTCGTTTATCTGACAGGACAGAAGCTCCTAAACTCAAGGTGCTTGTCGGTCAAGGTTGACCTGTAAAACGTAGATCTGATTGAAGATCCTCTCCTTTTCTCAAAACCTGGCTATCAAGGTAGCAGAATGAATGTTACTTGACACGTCCAAAGAAGAATCCGAAGTTAGCATGGCGCTGATTCAAGGATTGAGTTTGTTTTTTTATCGTCCGACGTGGCAGTTGCAGCGGCTACTGATTTAGTTGGCTTTGTATATTCTAGTATCTTCGTGAGATATAATTTAAAACCGATCCAAATGGGTTCCCACCTGTTTGGGACGGTTTTTTACAGCAAATTGAAAGTCTTGGTTATGGGGACAGACCCCGGTGATTGACTAGTTATCGTTTCTCGTCATGCTACTCGTTGTCAACAAGTAGTTCAGAATGTAACTTTTTGGTGTATAACCTCTCGATAGGCTATCCCTTCAAACCCAGTGCAGACCATCGCCACACTATCCGAAACCCTCTCAAAGCCAACCGTCTGTTATTCATCTGCTCCCATTCACCGTTTGACACTCAGATTTCGGAGACTTGCCGCGTGACTCCTTTCTCCACCGTTTGCTCTGACGTCTTTCGTGCACACACTTGGTGTTTCAAGCTGAGGCCGCGAAAACCTCGTTCGCGCAAACACGTAGCTTGAAAACCATGACATCGAGATCACTGTTTCTTCGTTATACCTATGACCTGAATATGCCAATGCAAGCTTTTTTCATGAGGAACTGTGGTACCTGCAGTGTCCACGAAGAGACTGCACCTTACCATGGCATGACGGTTTCCGCAACTCAGCGACCATTAAGCTATATCCCGAGACACTCACAGAGTCTCTCATACCAGGTTGGTCAATGGTTAAAGATCTGACGAACACAGTCCCTTGGTACTTAAGGCTGGAGATCGGCACTTGTGGCGACTTGGACCGTAGAAATGGTAATGCATTTGCATTTCCCGCCAAGCACTGCTTTCTTGCGGTTAGGCTTTTGAGCCAAAGTCTTTGGTTCAGGACCCTAGTCGTCCTTCTTCCCAGGTGTGGGCGCTCTGACAGTATCCCGGCCCACGTACAGCCTTGACATAATACTTTCATGCCACAGCGGCCATCGCATGTTTCCATCAGCTGGGTCGCCTTACTCGCTGCAAAGAGTAGGGTAGGTAAGCGAAAACGGGCCACTGCAGCGGGATGTGCAGGGGTTGGTATCGTACTGAGTCAACGGACGGAATTATCCTTGCTTGATTGGATACATGTTGATAGTCGCCTCTGTGTGGTTCGTCTGGCAACGTCTGTAGAATTTTACTAGTTGATCTTTGTTTATTGTGTGTATATACCCTAACCAATTGTAACCCTGACACCGTCAAAGAAAGGTTCTACGACGCTCCAAATGCCCTGCTGCGGTGAGCTAAAAGCTCAGATATGGTGGTGGTTGTCGGAGAAATGAATACACAAGTGGGCAGGCTTAGCATATCCGAGACTCAATTAGGAGGTCTACATTGATTGGACTCCGTACGTACGGACAATCGGGAACGATTGTTCCAGCTGATCGCAGGCTGTTTTTATGCAGTGCTGAGTTGCGAAATAGCCGAAGTCGTTTGGCCACATGGTGTCCTCCGACAGCATACCGGCCACAAACTCAAATCGACCACATTGTCATCAGTAACTGATGGCGCGGATCAATAATCCACTGCCGGTCGTTTTGTAGCCACAGCAAGAACAAGCCACCAGACGGGTAGTCCTACCTTACATCAAGAATATACCAGAACTCGCAACCAGATTATTGGCTCAAAAAGGAATCTTCGTGGCCCACAAACCGGGTGCTGCTCTAAGGAAATTAATCTCTAAACCGAAGGACAACCGGGACAAAACCAAGAGAAACAATGTGGTATACCAAATCGACTGCAACAAATTCTACGTTCGACAAACTGGGAGAAAATTATGTACACGAATAAAGGAACACAACGCAGCTGTCAGGAGGCATGACCCCCTGTCCTTGATATCTATACACGAGGACCAAGAAGGCCACAAATTCAATCTGGAAAGCGCGAAAATTTTGGCATACGGAGACACGCGACGCGGAAGAGAATTTTTGGAGGCATGTTACTCTACGGCAGGTTCAATCAACAGGTGCATCGAACTGGATCCAATTTACGCACCTCTACGTGCAAAAGACCAACATCGCAACCGGAACACTCAAGGAGGACCGGATAATGGATTCACAAACGAAGAAACAAGGAACTCCTCGGAGTCAAATCAGTAAAGGTCACAAGCCGGAACTAGGAAGGACAAACGTCACTCCAACATCGACCAGACTACGACGGCGAGGGATACCAAGTTCAAAGGTCACGTGGGCGTCGGCGAATGAGGACATGGAGTAAAAGAACAACCAATGGAACCGCCCGACAGAATAACTAATCGCGGTCAAAAGTCATCCCCGGCTACAAGCATGTTTATCAACACACGTAACACTACTGAACGCACAACCACTAACCCACCGCTACGCAAAACTACGCACTGATGATGTCACTTCGATTGGTGATGAAACGTTTGCAACCAAATTGCCAGCTCAGCGAACAAAGGGGGCTCGTAGTGAGTGTTGCAACTACAAAGGGATCAGCTTGACCCCGGTCGTAACGAGACTGTTGGCGTCACTTGTGCTTCGTCGCCCTATGGTGGCTCGTGATACACTGATTGGAGAGCAGCAAACGGAATTTCGGCCTGGTAGGAGTTGCGTCTACCAGATCTTCACACTCCGTCAGGTGCTAGAGCAACGCCACACGTATATTAGCGACCCACAGTTATAGTGTTCCTGAATATCCAAGGGGCATTCGACTCGGTTGACCTGTCTGTTCTGCTTGACACGCTTGCCCAACAAGGAATGCCCCGAAGCTCTTGGTACTCTCGGACTTCCAGACGTGTGAGAGTATACAGCGAGCTCTCCAAAAGCTTCCGCACACAAAGCGGTCTCTGTCAAGGATGCCCACCCTCTCCACCCCTATCTAACTTCGAATCATGAGACGAACGGTAAAAAGTCTCCAAGACCCTGGTGTTTAAATAGCCCTTGACGAAATTCTTATCGTTGTGGAATATGCGGACGTCGTTTTCATCTCCAAAGAGGAGAGGGCGCAGGTGCTTTTGGATGACTAAATTCATCCCATCCTTTGGAACGCACTTTGCACCCACAAAGCGTAAGGTCCTGCTCGCGGACAAGCAGTCACTGAACGCACCACTTACAATCCAGGAAGAGGTACTAGAATTTGTGGATAGTTTTACGTATATTGGAAGTTGTGTTAGTTCTGACTAGTTGGACAGATGAGGTCAATGCACGAATCTGCAAGGCTCGGGTCGCGTTCGCTAATTTGAGACACCCATGGCGTCAAAATGGTGTTTCTCTGAATCTCAAAGGACTTGTGCATCAAGTTACAGTGCAGGCTGATTTATTGTGTGGCTATGCCTATTCGATCAGCGGAACGGAGACGTCTTCAGATGTTCAACAGTCGTTGTCTCAGAACCATAACTCGTGTGGGCTGGTGTCAGCGAATCCGTAATGAGGCAGTTAGAAAGCTCGTTTTCGGTTGTGCAACGGATACTTCCATCTTAAGAATGTGTCCAGCACCAGAAGCTGCGTTGATTGGGACGTGTGTTACATACGCTGAACCATCGTTTGCCGAATAGAGTGCTGTTTTCAGTGCCCGATTCACAGTGGAGGAAGCAGAGAGGTTGCCAACCCTTGATCTTACAGAGGGTATGAAAAAAGTTACGAAATACTTGGGTGCTGTCGGTGCTACTCGCCTTCCAGGATGGGGCCGCATGATTCCCAGTATGCCTGGTTGGATACGCTGCAAGATATGGCTGCCAACCAATGTCAGTGGCGTTCTTGTCAGTTTATAGCCGGATTGCCTGAATGTGTTTGGAGGTGTAGGCACCTCGGAATGATTCTGGTTAGCCAGCACTAAGTCCCTTCCCCGTCCACCTTTATTCTTTTCTTCACAATAAGGCTTTTAAATAAATCATGGTTGTACTGCAGTGAAGCATCGCTGTTTAACACCGATGCTGTCGATACTGCTTCTGATGACGATCATAATGCAGGACAGTAGGGAATGGTCACCCGAACTTCTTATGTGTTCAGATCAGCATTTTTCATTACTTCATGTAGTTTCTGGTTTTACTCCTTTCGGTTTGATCACAGGCAGCTTGACACCTAGCGAAGACTAATTGGTGAGTGACATGGTTTCAAGGTTAGAGGAACAGTTCCGTATGATGGCACGCACCACAAGAGTATATTTGTTAGTGAATAGCTGTCTACTTAACACGCTTAAGTGGTTAGACCGTACGGACAATTATCGCAGTTCAACAACCACCCTTTTGTCAGACTGCGCTTACTTAGATCAATATGCATTTCATTTCATCTTGCTGCCATTGAACCTGTTTACTCTTGCACGTTAGATGTGTGGTTAACCACGTGATGCTGTCACATGCGTACTTTTGTGGTACACGTGACTAGAGGTCATCCAATTAACCTAATTCAGGTACTCTGGCCATGTGTCTGTCCTGATACTGATACTGATACTGGATCGCTTATTCCTCTTTTAGCTGTTTTGTAGCTTTTTTCACTGGCGCTTCGATACTCTAGACCTAAATTTCGACCAATACTCTGTGTGCCTCATTAGGTACTCGTCGGTTGTACTTCACTACTATCTGACCGTACTCGTAGATCTGATCCAGCGCATAAATTTTCATATCAGGATTAGTTTCGAAGAGGATGTTCAGCTAATTGTGATTAGAGTAATCACCCAACCGATATTCTGTCGCTGTCTTCTCTTGAGACCAAATTCTTCATCATCCCTGTATGGCGAATTCGATATCTCGTTTCTTTAAAAGTAGTCCTGTAATAACGAATAGAACCCAGGCTCGCGGTAACTCAGTGGTTAAGCCGCGAACTTGCTATCCGGAAGGTCCGGGGCTACAATCCAACCCTTGAAAATGGACTTCCGTTGTTTAGGCTTGGGTGCTCTGGTATTATCTCAGCCCCCGTGTTTCCTGTGAGTGAAAAAATCGTTCAGCTGTAGCACCCTTTCGGTGCCTAACTGCCATGCCACCGAGGGAGGAACGAGGGCTGAGATAATGCCAGGTTGCCTAAGCCAAGACAGGGGAAGTCGATAGAAACAGGTTGTGTTCGAACCGCGGACCTTCCGGTCAGTAAATTCGCACCCTAACCACTGAGCCATCCCGCCCATGTCATTATTTATTTATGCGTAATCCAGGTTCAAGTTCGGCCTAAGTGTGAGTGAACTCCAGTAGCTGCTGTACATAGCAAAGTATACACTTCGCTTCTGTATGTAATAGGTACGATACTTCTAATGTATATCTATATATCTAAATATACAGTCCTTCTTTGTCATTACAACGTCGATAAACTTTGACCTTTGGAAGGAGAAAAACTAGCGCTTGTTGTTGACGTGTAACCTATTGGTGCTTATATTGTATGATTTTTCTTGAACAAGTGCTCGGCCGAAAACCTCATCATTCGTCCAGATTAGTAGGTATTTTAAGCAGTTGCTTGCGTTCTCTTTGGGGTCTGACTTTCGCCTTTGAACGAACTAGAGCAGAAAACAGCAAATACTGTTGTGTTTGTTCCGTTCGCATTTCGCATTCAATACAATATAACCCACTTTACTTGGAGTATATTCTTACTTCTCCATTCTCCCAATTTCATGCGCGCGCAATGGCCCAATTGGATAGAGCGCGAGTTTACTGACTGGAAGGTCCGTGATTCGAACCCGACCTCTGTCTCTCGACTTCCCCTGTGTAGGCTTGGACAACCTGTCAGTATCCCAGCCTTCGTGCAAACTTCGGGTGGCATGGCAGTTAGGCACCGAAAGGATGCTACGGCTGAACGATTTTTTTCAATCAACGTGACAAGATGCTGATGTGTGACTATGGGGGTCTTTCTCTGTTGAATGTTTACTGAACGTATGGAGTTTTCTGGTCGTCTAGGTAGCTTGAGACAGTTCGGTGGACAAGATGGGAACTACTAATGGGGGGTTCGTGGTCCAAGTATGATACTTAGTTGATCGCAGTCAGTCTTGAGCGAATAAGCGTTACCTCAGCCCTTGTGCTTCGTGCAGTTATGCAACAAAAGGGTGCCACAGTCGAACGAATTGAATTGATTTTACTGATGAAGTTTCAACAGTGCCATCGGTCCTATTCAAATGGCCCTACCGATAAAGGTTATCGTTAGGTATTCAATCTAACCGCCTGAACGCCTGGCACAATATGGAATATGGACTATCCAACTGTTCGCTGTTCTTATGTAAATCACTACACACTGAATGCCAGAGGCCAGCGTGGGAAAGTGGCCCTACAATCATTAGTAATAGCGAATTCAGTGACCGTGTAATTTAGTATGTTAGCCCTACTTAGTTATTATTTTTATGATTATTTTTATGGAAAAATGGAACTGCAAACTGTGTTGGTGTTTGTCTCTCAGAATGACGTCCGTATTAACTTAACTGAGGAATCGTTTCGGCGAATAAATTAGTTTAGATATGAATCAGCTTGCTAGCCGTGTTACTTTACTATTTTGGATCGGTAAGTTTCTAAGGACATTTGTTTATTTTCTATTATTTGTAAACGACTGGCCACCAGCGGTTCTCTAAGAAGGCTGAATTTGTGCCCAATTAAGCATCAAATTTGATGAAATCTCTAGCCATGTACTCGCACCATTGCTTTCTCTGTTGATCACTATTATCAGGGGACCGAGATGTAAGTGAACATGCGGAAGTGGTTCACTCGCGTCGACCAACCTCAGCAAATGTGTCTACTTACAGTAACCCAATAGCTGATGAGCATATCCGCAGCAAACCGCGCTCCGCCATCCTCAGTAGTCGGACAATGGCAAAGGCTAAGGCGACAACCACTTCGCCTCAAATGGCTGTCAGCTCCAACCTATTGGGATCCAATGCTTGTGAATGCAGGTTTTCTGATACGCCCCGGATTCTTCTGAGCAATAGATCGACAGATGAATCGCGGGGCTCAGCTGCACCTGGCCATTCGAGACGATCGTCAGTTCGAAGCGACAATGAAAGTTCGAAAGGAGAAATACAAAATCGTGGACTATTGGAAAAATTGTCAGCGAACACGCCATCTCGGTATGTTATTCGCAATAAGTAGGTAGACCTAGGAAAAATGGGTTAGTTCTGGTACGAAGTAACCCTCATCTCTTTATTTCTTCCATTTTTCCATACGCAACACTGGTCTTCCTGGCTGTGGTTACTCTCAATGCAGCTGTCACCTTGAAGCCAATGCACTGGTGTATTGTTTTTTACTGCTGTATATGTGGTTTGAGGGCTATGTATTCCATTCACATAGCATATTATTCTTCATCAGCTAAAAAGTCCATTCCGTTCCTTCGTCTTAATGATACTGAAAGCTTAATGCTTGGGTGTAGGACCTTATGGCAGTTGCTAGGCTTTGTTCCGAATCTCTCCCGGGAAGTGAGGTCCATTCTAGACTATGTTTAGCAGAGAAGCGAATAGAAAATAGACGACATATGTTATTTTTCCATATTTTCTTGTTCTGTTTCACTCTTTTCCACTTCTTCCACGACTTCATCCTCCTCGTTCTCTCCTAGTCGCTTTTGGCTGTTCTTCAGGTTACTTGAGGAAAAACTTTGTGTTATCCCCTTGCCTGTCGACACTGCTAAATTTCCCTAGCACTCACCGTCCACATTGCTGATCGGGAATTCACGAGGTTCTTACTGGATCCATACCCTAAGATTCGCGAAATAACCCCCACCTACACTCGGTTTGGAAAGAAGGTTGACCACACCTCTCGTGAAATCGACATTTAGACGTCACCGGTGAGCCTGCACTGACTAATTACAATGGGAGCTTGTTTCAAGCAATAGCTACTCGGTGGGCGAATAACTTATTTCTCACTGTTTTCAACTCCTTCCTTTATGTTAGTTTATGGATGGCTGTCTAACGCACTCGGTCATGGGTGTGCGGAAAGGTCGCCGGCGATGGGTCCAGTGAATCTCGTAGCTATTTCGTTTGACCCTTTTAGATCTCTTCCAGTCTTCTCTATAGGTTCAAAGCCCTTAGTCGTTTCAGCTAATTACTCCCTACCAAACTCCTGGTTTTGACTGTATGGGTCTGTTCAAGACAGAATGAAAGTCAGATCTATGCATGGTTAAGCGTGACGGTGTACAAAATGGAAAAAGTATTTGCACTTTCCCTGATTGCGCTTCCATCCTTAGTTTTCCTAATGGATATCCTCAACCATGCACGAAGATGGCTGATAAAAGTATTTGCACTTTCCCTGATTGCGCTTCCATCCTTAGTTTTCCTAATGGATATCCTCAACCATGCACGAAGATGGCTGATTGGTTAGGGCGCAAATTTGCTGACCAGAAGGTTTGTGGTTCGAACCCGACCTCTATGGACTTTTCCTGTCTTGGCAGTTTCTCAGCCCTTCCTTCCTACCTTCTGCTGCAGTGGCAGTTAGGCACCGAAAGGGTGCTACCGCTAAACGAGTTTTTCTACACTGGTCACATATGTTCAAGTCACTTCGGATCAGGATCCCTAGACTCCGTGCTTCCATAACTCAATTCAGTTCATGCACTTTAGAATACCCGTCACGAAGAGATTGGACCTTACCGTGGTATGACGGTTTTGTACCCCCGCGACCCGTTGAATGTAGATACTTTCAGAGTCTCTCATATCAGGTGGATCAATGGTTAGCGTTTTGATGAAGACAGTCTTCTGCAACATTTATGGCGAATGGTTCCTTCCCGCCAAACACCGCTGTCCTGTGGTCAGGCTTTTGAGCCAAAGACTTTGGTTGAAGCTCCTAGTCGTCCTCCTGTCTAAGTGTGGGCGCTGTGACAGTATCCCAGCCCACGTACAACCATGAACTGCACACATACAAATAAACTCATGCCAAATCGGCGTTCGCGCGGTGCCATCAGCCGGATCGCCTTATTCACTGCATACAGCAGGACAGGTGAGGGAAAACAGGCTACTGCTGACGCCTTCCTTCGTTCACTTTCACATACTTTTTCCTCTACCACCCCACCTCACTCCATTAATAACGATCTCCTTGTGGGTTCATCACTTGGGATGTACAATTCACCCTAAAGGGTGAATAGCACCACAGATTTAGAGCTGTCCTGGATCTCTGTATCATTCTTGGTTGGGCGGATTTGAATTATATACTATTGGCGGATTAGGAAGAGAATCACTGGCCTGTTAGCGTCGTTAACAGTTAAGGACAGTACCGCGTTTTTACCAAATTCGCTATTTTAGACGATGTTACCGACTGACCAATCGGGGGATTCCCTCAAACGACTCCGATTCACTTATGGATGATGAAGAATCTAGGTCTCTGATTTCTTCCATTTGTTGATGAAGTGTGCATGCACATCTCACTCGTCCTCTCCGGGGGAGGGATTCCCTCAAACGACTCCGATTCACTTATCGATGATGAAGAAGAATCTAGGTCTCTGATTTCCTCCATTTGTTGACGAAGTGTGCATGCACATCTCAACTCGTCCTCTGGAACTAGCCTAGACGCCGCCATGTGAAACTCAGAGACGGTGAAACAACTGTCGCTTTGGAGTGTTATCTCGGAATGGAAGCAACTCAGTTTCCGGCATCTAATTGCATTCCTTCTCACAAGTCTGTGCACTACTCAGTTGCCAAACAATTGCCTATTAGCGAAAGACAAACACGATAACATCTTGGCTACCCTACGCCCGGCAAAGCCCAGTTTGGACAAGAGCCTTGTGATGCATGACACGCAATCTGTAGCAAACCTCGGTCACCTCTACGTCCAGCGCGAACCATGTACTTTACCGGTCTCACTCTGGAGCCAACTGGAAATGAGATGAACAGATGTTAAACATCTTCGTAATGCTCACAGTAAACACCCTGTTTGCCAGATGGGCTGTGCACATGACTATAGTGGGTAAGCAATCGCGGGACTATCCAGGCGAGATAGAAACTTGTTTGAATGATCAGAAATTAAATCGCCTGTCTGAGGGGCTCTATTGAAAGCTAATGACTTTCAGGGACGAGGCTTAATGAGGCCTTCAAAATCTGCCATTCTGTCCAACTGCTTTACACGTCTACAGAACTTCGCCGGCTACCTCTCCTTGAGCCTTTGACTCAAAAGTGCCCCACAAGGTAATGGGATAATTAATGGGGGACCTTGACTCTGTCATCTGACTCAAAAGTCTCACCCGTGAGGCAGCGGATGGTAGGGTTTTCTTCAGGGACAGAAGCCGATAACTCAGTTGTCTGACCTGCTCGGTTGCAGGTCATTGGTCTAATCCAAGGGCACAAGGAGTAAGACATTACTGTGTCACTCCTAATGTGGTTGCGCACCTCAGGTGCCTTTTGAGCAGTACTGGACTGTCTCATTTTAAAAGTATTTCGATCGTGTGGAATAATGCGATGGTAGTCACGGTCTACCGCTGAGCGATCTGTGTGCGCGTTTTTTATGGTCAACCTTTTCTAACCCGTCCTCTTTCGGGGAAGGCAGCATCGTTGTTTCCATGAATATGGACATGCTGGTCGCCTGGGATAAGCACCTTACTGCCTTCACACTCCTATCGCAAAAGATAGACCACCCCCTAGCATGACCACTCGCAGTACGAGGTCTCGCTGCTCTTGGTCTGACTGCTCCCCTTTGACCGTCTTGGCAATGTCGCACCTAGTAAAACAAAGTTCCAGCCAGGATAATTGCAGCACTCAAGCCCGACCACCACGCAAGGTGGCAGCCTTAGATCAGGAAAAATTATAATACAAGAACGTTAGTCTCATGCTGATTTATACCGTGTTATCTGTCATTTGGAAGGCTATGAATGATATCAAACCGACTATCCGGTCAGGTTTTGTAATGTAGGGTTCGACATTGACTCATATAATGTAAGAGGTATTTTTCAGCACATGTTCTGCAAAAATGCACTCGTCAACTTATCTCTCGTGTAGTTATCACTCATTTGGGTAACCTCCTTGTATTCTCAAACTTAAATAAACCTAGGGTCTCTTCCATCACGTCGTGCCGTGCTACAAATTTTGTAAACATCTCCATACTTAATAATGTCCAAGTCGACTGTATTCGTCAGTAGCACGATTATCTTGGCTACATAATAATGTCCACCTCCCTGATTCGTCTGATCACTTTGTTCAAACTGAAGCCTCGCTAATGTTCATTTCGAAGTGAATCACCAAGGTCGGATGCATTGAGAAGAGGGTCGAAATCGTTGAGGCGAAGAAATCGTCAGATAGAAAAATGTTCTTGTTTCACGGTTTTTATTCATTAGTAAACCTCAGTTTATGGGGAACTAGCTGTCGAAATTTTCGCTTTAACGTTTCCTCGAAGAACGATTTACATCAGTGCAGGAAACTCCCCTCCTGAAAGTATCAGCGAAAAGAGTGTGCTTACAAGGACAGGAAAAACTCGAGGCAGCTGATCAAGGGTGGAATTCTTTACCTCAAAAATCTTTATTTTGAAACTTCGTTAAGCAGCAAAGGCTATTGCGAACATTGGGACGCTTTGCTGCAGCTCTGCAGTGACAGTCCGAACCCCGTAATGTCGACCGCAATAGGTTCAATCAGGGTCCATGAATTCATGAGATCTCCGAAAACCTCAGTATTAGAACACATAAAAGACGTGCTGCGATTTGTTAACACGTGTCACAGGCGTAGGACATGTGGGTTAAATACCTCAGACAGTTGATACCCTGTTCACCAGACACGTATTCTTTGATTTCCAAGGGTCACCTGATCAGTGCCATGGTTACCGTGTGGATTGTTTCAAGGTCCCTCGTGCACACAGACGGGGGTGGTAGGATTTGATCGTTAGTGTTTCACTGGTCGCTAAAGCATATGGTTTGGTGTTGTGTGACAATTCTCCAATAGTCCATAGAGTACGCTTGGTGGCTTCTTTCCAAGACGTGTCTAGTGGTTGATGATGCGGGGTTATGGGTTGACGTTGTATCATCCTTATCGCCTCCCGGAGAAATGTACTTCATGAGTAAATTAGCTCAGTCATTCAGGTCGCATCATCCCTCCACCAAATATACGACTTTGGTTGTTTACTTTGGCTGCTAGTAGTTTGTAGCCATTCGGGGACTTTCGATCTGAAATCCAGTGATGGTAATTTATACAAGTTAAACGGGGATGCGGAGTATATAAGTAAAAGTATCACCATCATTCTCCGTTGTAAAATCCACGTACTTGCCGTGCGGTGGTTATAATTGCCACATCTTCGTTCGCCGATGATTCGGGGAGATGGAGTAAGTAGCTACGCATTGGAGGCAGTAACCGATATAACTGATGAGTTAATACAGGGACGTCAGTGTACTTTTTATTGGGGAGGTCTGAACCTGAAACTATGCATTGAGGACAACAGCTTGGATACATCAGCGCCATTGAGCCCGCGACTGGACCATATCTGGTAATGTCTCTAACCATTGATATGTCCCGTCTCGGGATTCCATACCAGGGAGGCGACAATGACCAACGCAGCTGAGTTGGTTGGTAATGGCTTCCATACTTCGATACCAAGTCAGCATTTGACCTCACTTATCGTTGTGCGAAAGTGACTCTTCATGGAATTCGGTCGACTGGTACGAAGAGTACTTGACCAAGCCAGCGCAACCTGTGGACGTGGTCAGTTCCCCCATCGTGGGTAAGTAATTTCATCCGAAGACCATTCGGCGTACCTCAGCATTACGGATCCGGTGTTCCCAGCAGACTTGGGCAATGCTCCGAAGACGTCGATGGTTGCACACTGAAGCTTCTTGATGTTCACAGCGCGCAGCTGCTGGGTCTCTGCCCCGTACAACAACATGGTGCTCACCGAAGCATTGCAAACTCGACCCTTGACAGCTAGGCTGAGGTCACGCCTATGCCACAGGTGATGCAGGTTCACGAAATCTGCTCTAGCATTCCCAACCAGTATGGATATACGATCTATCACGAGACTACCGTGACTTATACAGTTACCCAGGTGGGCAAATTTCTCTACTACCTCAATCGGCTCATCCGCAAGCATGAGGCCAGGGTTCCAGACCACCCACTTTTGCAGCTGCACTTTACCATCTGCAGGTATGAGGTGCATGGCAAACCGTGAGGTAGGATTATTTAGATTATTTAATGGTGTCTGCATTAGAGCCTCGTCAGAACCAAGAAGAGCTATGTCGTCTGCTTACTCGGTATCTATGTGCGAGTGCCCTGGAGGCATTTTGATCCCATGAGCGTTAGGAGCTTGGGAGTGAGTTTTCCGTAGTCATGCCAATGATGAAGTTAAAGACGAAAGGTGAAAATCGTTCACGTTGAGAGCAGTTGACCGCCGCTCACGTGAACCTGCAATGGAATATGCAATTCGTGTACGAAAGCTTTCAGACTGCTCAAACCGGAGTTATATGAGCGAATCACTAATGTATCATATGTTGGCGGACATTTATATTGAACGTAGAGTATCCTAGTATCAGCCGAGTTAGCGAAAAATACGCTAGTACTTGACTTTGTCGACCGACTTGTCAGTCACTACGGTTAATGCTGTTTTGTTGCCTTGCACAACTACTGTCTCGTGTGCCCTATGCTGTATAATAGCATACTAGTCACATGATTGTTCTTAATGCCGCTTTTAGAACACTACAAAGCACTCATCTGTCCGCCAAGATCCATTTACTATCAATGTCCAGCCGAGTCAATCACGATTGAGTAACGCCACCCGAGGCTGTGCACTCCGAAAACATTCGCACACTCACTGAGTCTTGCACGGTTTGCTCATGTGACTGCTGTTCATTTAGGCGAATTGATTGTAATGTGAACAATTTTCACACTTACCCGCAGCTTCTAATCTGTCCCTGCGTTACTCTTATAAGCCACTCGCTTTTTGACTTGTAATCCCCCAATCTGTGTCGACCAGAAGATCAATAAAGCATCAATGTTCTGAATTCTACTCATGGATGATAGATAGCATGTGAAGCACGAAAGCCGTTACCGGTTAGCTCAGTAGCGTTGGTAACTGCTGTCTTCCCAGATGGGGACGGCGGGACAAAACAAGCTAATGGTTGGTGACCCTGACATATATGGTCATCTAGCAGTCAGTGGTCGTCTTACATCAAAAATATCGCTCTCATCGCACAACTCTCATTTATTTGTCACACCGGACAAACAGAATCACTCGACGTCAGTGAACTAGTTGGGCCATTGGCTGCAACACATGGCTTTCATTCCCTTAATCTCCTTATCCTTGGTGAACGAGGCTGTAGCAGCAGAAACCACTATACTTCGGTGCACGGTTTGTAAATTGAAATGTTCTGGCAGATCATATCATTAAACTGACTGTCTTTCATAATCATAGACGGATACATAAGTTGTATTATGGTGCGTTTCGTTTTTAGGGTGATCTCTTCTGAATGACAGATAGTTGGAGAAGGATATCTTTTTTAGATTAATGCTGAGCATAACCGTTAGTTAATTTTATGTCATCTGGTCGAACTTAATCTGGTGTCGTAATTGGTTAATGTAGTAGTTCTCAAAACATGGGCCATTTATGGTGACTGCCTTCGGTATGGTTTTGTCAGAGTTCTCTCATACGGGAACTGGGACTGCAAAATTTCGCAACTTAAATTACTTAGTTAATGGATATTTTCGAGTTCATTCGATTTCTCCACTTTGCGGACTGTTGGATGTCAGCACCAGAACCATTGTGCTAATAAACACTGATAGATTAATTGTCTTAGTCACAGTGATTGTGAAAAAGGGCAGAAGCTAGTCACATGGCACATGTATGAATTCACTCAATCCCTTTTTCGCCCTAGACCCTTAGGGTTCAGTGAGAGGACATCTGAGCTTCTCTTGGTAGCAGTTTGAAGCTGAAACATGAGACGGTTTCATGCGCTTAATATGTACGAACTGGATGTTATTTAGAAAACCAATGAACCTCCTATTTGTAACCACAAGACAAGTTCGGTATAAAAGTCCATCTTTTAGGTTTTTTCTAGACATTACAGCTTTGCCGCAGTTCTATTTGTCGTGTGGCAACTCAACGGTGACTTGCCAACCTTACCGTGCTTGGATGTGTCCGTTTTTTCGTTCTTACTGTCAGTATGATTACGTGGTACAAAGCATGATTTCACAAATGCAATGATGTTTATTGTGCTCGAAAAAGTTGCTCATTATAACACGTGTTTTCCTTGGCCACTTCAATCAACGTAGATCAGAACGACGTCTGCACGAGTTGAGCGAGCACAATTCCCCGCCCTGTACTACCCCAACGTCTTTGACCAAACCAGAGGATCAGCTGATCAGTTTCCAATGTGAGTTGTCTGTTGCACAATCACCATCATCTTCCTTGTTCTTCTTAGTCCATTTGATGCTTTTGTTTTCTATTTTATCTGGATTTTCATTTCTGTGTGCATGTACATGACATGGGTCGCAGAATACGATGGTAATTTACTGACTTGTTCCAGTTGCAGTCGCCTGAATCTGATGTCCCGAATTAAACTTACCCAGTACAATGGTTCCATTCGGATGCAAACGCCTGAGAGACCGAACAACACGGTAGGGGAAACTATAGAAAGTTGGTTCGTTTCTTGCCCACTACTGAGTCGAACCGTCAGTCTCATATCCTGAGATTGCCTCATATTCTAATTACTGCAACATTTAATCGTATCCTAACTTAATGAGTATTTCTAGCTGTTCCACGCAGACATCTCTCCTAAACAAATCGTGTCCAAGTGATGTTTCTTTCCCCTACATTGGCAAGGTTCGATTTTGGTTTTTCACACCCACAAAAGTCATCCGCAAGTTACACTGGTAGATGTGTAGTAGCCTATCACTTTTCGAAAATTCCCCAGCTACTCTTATCGACAAGTTTTACTCGTGGGTCTACTGTTGTTGTTGAATTGTTAACTGTCTACTAATTGGTGTCCAGCATCATTTATTCAGATAACGCGGCCTGTTTGAGTGTACAGTCCTCAAGCCAGAAAATTCAAAACTGCAGTTATTCACTCACCATTGGTATCCGAATGACACGTAACTACAGCTCATTTTGAATCAACCGTTTTTTCTGAGAACAAGGTGTGTTTTCAACAGTGCACCTCGGTTCTGCGTGAAACCCACCTTCGATCGGTATTGTGATGACGGTTGTCGCCTAGTGCTACTCTTCCAAGACCATTTGGTTGTCACCTATTTAGTTCCTCAAACACCGAGGTTGTTTTTGTCCAGTGATTCACTCTCTTTTTTCGGATCACAGTCGCTTTTAATTGTGGCTTTGTCGAAGGCTGCTAGGCTTCTGATTAGTGTTCGCCTTCCCGCAAATTCATAATTCGACAGTGCTCCCGATATTCAGGTTTATCATTCCGGTAATCTGTGAATCCTAATCGTGCGTAACACCCACCTTTGAACTCTGAAACCTGTGTTATCGCGTCACGTAGATTGTTATGTGTTGAATTTAAGCAGTAGTGTTGTCTCACTTGGTGTTACTGTGCATGTTATTTGCGTTCTGACCAGAATAGATGCAGTGGTAACATATTTCTGCCCATTATTATCATTTATTTTTGCGAAAGAGTAACAGGAGAATATGGGAGAAAAGAGAGAAACGTCTCATTCGAAATCATGCCAAGGACAGTGCCAGTCTGATGAGGTGCATCCCAAAGTATGTAAAGATTTTGGTATGGGAACATGCGTCTAAGGACCAACAACCAAAGAAAGGACAAACAATGCTGAATGCTCTTCAAGGCGCAGTGTGCGTTAGCACAGTCAAGACTCGCACATCAGGCACAAAGTGACCGTCATACTGGGTCTGGTGTGAGATTAAATGGCAAAAATGTACCTTCAACGCCATGTGCCACACATAAAAGTGTCATAAGTACGCAGGGAGCCCACAATGGCAAGCAAACACAAGTCACTGACTGCGACCTTAGGAAGTCCCAGTCCAATAACAGCCTTAGCGGATTGAGGAAAGCAGATCCCTCGATAAGAGATGATCATCGGCTGGTGAACCAAAAAGTCGATATCACAACCGATGGCATGTAGGGCTGAGGTTATGGCGAGGGAATGTTCATCAGCACCATACTTCTGCTTCTTCTCATTCCACACTATCACTCCACGCCCATCCGAGACTATGCTACATGTTTTGGCACAACGCTTCTGCCAAGGCATTGCCTCCAAAAATAAGGCGAAGTAGCCCGACTCCAAATTTCGTTCCATCAAAAAAGACATGGTGTCCCGTTTCCAAAAAAGGCACAACCTGTTCGGCGTGGTAGTAGTAGTAATTCAACAACTTCCGATGGTATTAATTGATTGTCCGGGTTGGATGTGCGATTGATCATCGCGGTTATAATCTTGGGTGTCCTAGAGAACCCGTGCATGGCAGCGCTGTTGATCCTTCTGGAGGCCCTCTTCCCCATAGTTATAGCTGCTGACAAGTGTCAATTACGTTCGTGAATCTTCGAAGCCAGGACAACGGTAAATTTCCTTCCACACTAGCATGCATTGAGGTTATCAATCAGCTTGCTGTTCGACTGTGAATTTCACGCAACGCGGGATCCTGCGAAACCCCATCTGACTTTTTTCTCCCGCTCAAATGAACTAGGTGAGGTCTTTCCTTACAAGTGAAAGGGTATGAAGGGTCGAATTCAAAACAAACAGTATAACAAGCAATTCTTCCATGTATCAGCTGGCTTTGACGTCAGTAAAATGTGGTGGCGCATCGCTGCTACATGTCGTTGAACATTAGAACTCTAAAACTTCTACCATCAAAATAAGTAAAGTCGAATGTAGTTGTTGCCAAAAAGTGATGCTGAACTCAACGAAATCTCAAACCCTTTGCTTATGGTAATGTTTTCATCTATTCATTCACCGAATTTCTTAGCGATGAACCTTATCCAACTAGAGTAGTGTTGTAACGGTATTTTCCCCAGCTTAGCTCTCGGTCTGAGCCTCCCAAGCTAACGTTCACGTCAAAACAACTAACGAAGGTGCACAAGGTCTATTAATGCCCAAAACGAAGTCAAGAACAGCTGTACAGCGCTTCGTATATATAGCGTAAGTGGTTATAACTTCCTGGAAGTTCTGACGCGTTCTGGATGCGCCATTGGCAACCGGCATTTGGCTAATATTGGGTCACGATTGGCTGTTGGGTCCATATTTTTGACCAATCAGATCTCGTCGTAATGCCGGACCGGCAAGCGTCTTGAATTCTCGCCAATCTCGTGCGGGTCAGGCTTATCGGCTGTAGCAGCGCACAAGGACATGCGGTAAAGCGGGATCCGTGTGGAATTCTGCCTAACAAGTGGACCCAACTGATGATAGCCAAATCATTAGCATGAAGAGTGTTAAACTGCTTTTCCAACCACTTTCACTTAATATCCCGTTTCGTTGCAAGAAGTTACTCATTCTGTTTATTTCAGCAGGTCGTGGTAGTACGTGCCCTTCAGATGGAACGGCACTCACTAGAGTAGCATCTGATGTAATATATACCTGGAAAACAACCAGCGAAGCTGAACTTGCTCATTTACGGCCACCTGAGTAACCCTGTATCCGATCCGTATACCACTGAAGGCGCTTCTGATGGTAGCCATCTCCATCGTTGAAACCAACCAAGCTGATGAGGTTGAAATTTGCAACTCAACTTTTAATCGGCAATGTGACGCTCATCTCAATTATTCTTAGTGCTTACCAGAACGTAGGGTAACTAATTCTGCTATCTCCGGCCGCTAGCCCAAACTTGGTTCAACCACTGTGATAGATAGTTCTTTTCTAACTGACCCCAGCCAGCTGACAGTTTGTATCCGTATCAATAATCTGAACAGTCCTTCTCCTTTGCTTGCTGGTTATCCTTGTCAAACAAAGGAATCACTGGACTCAAGTTCAGTTCTCATTAGAGATCAGCTTTGGATCTCTCAGGCCGTGCTGGTATTCAGACTCCGGACAAGAAGAGACACGGACAAACTTGACTTATCACTTTTGAGCCGGTACATATTGCAAATTATTCACTAATCAGTGAGGTTTAGTACATTCTGCGGAAACGTACCCTTTCACCCAAACCTTTCGAAATAGGGACATGGGCTTGGCATTAAGTTATCCGTCTGAATAGAACTGGTACTCATGATGGGGCCCGCGTAACGCGTTTAGTAAACCTACTGCCTGCTCACATGTAGTAGCGTGTATCACGACGGCACCTGCGAGAAAATCCGCTGCGTGTTTGCTAGCCATCATGTGACCAGACGTGAATGAATACCATTCCAGTTTGGACAAGCGGAAGAGTGGGTGTAGGTTGTTGTGGGCTTTGTACAACTAGCGTTCACGTCACTCCGGTGATGTCCGTTAGGTTTCGCCTGTAATAATAAATAACTAAATAATAATTAGTTAGTTGTTGCACCCATTCGGTGCGTAGCTGTCGCGTTACCCAGAGGAAGTACGAGTGCTGAGATACTGTCCTATTGCCCATGCCTAAACGGAAACAGCCGAGTTGCCACGGACTTTCCAGTCTGTAAGTACGAGCCCTAACGACTGATCCATCTGGGCTGTGGTGCAGCCTGACTGCGAAGTCCTAACAGGCGTTTCAGTTGATCAACACAACCAGGACAGTTTACGCATCATCGTTCAAACCGTTTCGTCAACCGGTCACATCGCTCAAATCTGAACACGTTTACTTGTTCGAATGCGTCTAGTGTGTGACGGTGGAGTAGTTTCGCATATCATATATCGTTGGATTCGAATCCCAGAACGGCGAAGAATATGAGCTGATGGTGAACTGTAATAATGTTGAAGTCCGGTGCCTCTTTGATACGGACACGCAAAAAACTGCTCCAGGACAAGTGGAGGACTGTTCAAATGGTGGTGAATGCAGTTGAGGAGAATGGGCTACCGCAACAGGCTCCGCTGACATCTGTTTTCGTGTTAATAGTGACAGCCGATGGGTACTGTGAGGCCAGTTTCGGTTGCAGACATTAGACCTGAATCCATGGTTTACGCCACAGTGGGTGAAGCTCGACTGTTCATGCGATATGAACACAAAACACTTATTATTTTGGCTTGGAATCTGTTGGCCGTACTTTTACGAGTATGCATCGACCTACCTGGTGCTATCTGTATGTTCTCCTTAGGTACCGATTTTTCTGGTAAGAACTATGGCTAATCGTTTTACAAGCAGTCATCATTCCTGTTTAATTCGGGCATGATGCGCTCATGATAATCACTCGTGTTTGTGCCTCTTAAATGATCCATGTGATGCTAATCCTTTGTGGGACTGACACCAGAATTCATAAAAGACAAAATACCGAGCAACCCATAGCATGTAGCCTTGATAAGAATGGAGTTTTTGACAAGGTCACCCCATTTGTCTGGTAAGTGTACCAAACCTAGGTTCTTCGGATCCGACGTAATAAATAGGATGCTGATTGCTCGGAATCAACGATGGATTCACGATATATCCTCCACCAAGAGTCCTGGAATCCGATCCGAGCTGAATCCAACTAGACTAAGTTGTGACCGAAAATCAATATGTGCGAGCGAACGAAGTTTATTCGAGCTGATAGCACATCTTAGCTGCTTACCCAAACAAGTTGGTTGTATCCGGACAAGCACACTACAACGGCGTGTTTAAAATCAGGGATTATGGTATCGCGTTGTTGTTTTCTCCAGGTCGGTTATTTTAACTTTTTATCTGACTCACTCGCTTCCGTGTAAATATATGTTCGTGGTTGGGAGTAGTTTTCTTATGTTTACTTTCGTTACGGAATCTGCTCGAACCATAACCCATGGGTGCAGGCTGGAGGTGATCTTAGACAGCATCAGCTACACAGTTTAGTGAATCGCTGCTCATTCTTCATCTTACGCCAATAATTATTCTCACTGTGGAACTAGCTGAGCACCTAAAACTTTTTGTTCGTTGTATTAGCCACTAGGTCAGTTAGGGTTTCTATACAACCTAAGCAGCCGACATTCTCCTAAGCAGTTTGTACTCCTTGTACAGCTGTGAATGCCAAGACTGAGCGATTGTGCTGTCGTGTATTGCTTGGAATCAGGCCCCAATTTGCGATTCCAGATACGTAGACCTTCAACTCGTACTTCAAAATACACTGTTCACACACCAGCTACTCAACACTGGAATGCATACATGGGACCCTAGCACGTCCTTAGTTGACTTGAAGCCCGAATGATACCCCACCAAAAGATTTTTTTCAAATCTTACCAGGCGAAAGAACATGTACTTTTGAGCTTCAGTACTCTGGACGTGCCAATATATTCCGTTCGTTACCTTACCCTGCCACCTAACTGAGTGAACATGTTCCTTTATGGGTTAGCTCACTTTGTTTAGCACTGCCAAAGCACTTACGAGAAACAGTTAAACAAAACTTGGCAGCGTCCCGGCGTAAACATCCAGTTCGAAGATATTTCTTATTGGTTAGTGTATTTGAACAGCGAGATGGGTTTGTACGATCAACAGAATCCCACAATGGACCTGTTTTGGTGTTTCTCTAGGGTGGCAGTCCAAAATTTCGTATTGAAGAGTGTCACAAAACAAGCGCAGTTTTCAACTGAAGAGATCAAGTAAGTTACAGACCGGAATTCGGTTCCGGTGTCGTCCTGAACGTGTGACCCGCTTCCCTATAGAAGCCGGTGATCGAGCCCGATTGACGCCAGCGTTAGTCGGATGATAAAGTATCTGGAATCATCAAGCTTCGCAAGACTTGGTGACTTCGTGATCCATCTAGCTCTCTAAACTAATATACCATTCTAGCTTGAATCTCCGTGAGTGTTTCTAAATGGCCCCGAACGATTGACGCCCGACTGCCTGAGTTTGCAACAGCATGTGGCATTTTAGCGGCTGACTTAGCCTTTACATCTAACCTCTGTACTTCCAGTTCACTCGTACAGATTCTCTTCAGCAAAGTCAGGCACAGGTATATGCGGTTTTCGTTTTTTGCTCAGTAAAAACATTCGAGGTCAAATGTACAAATGCGTAACGTTCATGAAATAACTCGCCTTCGGCTTTGCCCTGTCATTACACTGGAGGTGTGCGTTGTTGTCTTTCCAAATTCTCATCGCGGTACACTATTTTCTTCAGAGTCTAGCGTTGTTGTGGTCGGCTCTGCAGAGTCAGTCGATCCGTTGGTAGCAACGGAGTTTGTCAGTATTGTCCACAAGGCCTGAATGGTATTTGCTTTTAGGTCCTTACGCAATCCGTCCTCCTTTCTGCTATCTGATGATCGTTTTATGGCTGGATCACGTGGTACGGAGAGTTTCTTCAGTATACGGCTTATCTGACGGCGGGAAATAGGCAGATTCAGCTCCTCTTTCAGGTCCTGACAGCTCAAGCTGGAATTCGAAGAAGCTTTCGCGTATAATCTGTCTAACTGTTCCCTTGATAGAGCACATTTTCTCCCACTCCGTTTCTTTCTTCTTTCCGTAGCTGGAAACTGTAAACATTGGGATACCGCTGTCTTACTGCGCCCAACGGTTCGGGCAATTTGTCGTAGACTTTTTCCAACTTGTTTCAATGCCAAAATACGAAACCGTTCCGTTGTAGTTAACTGGGTTCCCTTTGGCATATTCCTACCCTGGAACGGGCTGGAACCGGTACTCGATTGGTTAGTAAGCACGAGTCGGTTCACTGTACACATCAACTCAAGTTGAGTTGTCTTTTGTCTTAGATGTCTCCCATTTATGTTCCATTCCTGTTTTGTGTGTTCACCGGCTGATGGCAGCCACAAACTGACGCTCGTCGCTAGACCAATCATGTGTTTCGTTCTTCCAACGAAGGCGCAAACAATGCGTGTCTGCCTCACATTCATATTTAGGCACCGTGTTATTGTGTCCGTCTCACTAGGAAGCTCGGGTGGCTATCGATCGTTCCTCTGCTGGTCAATTTGTATGACTTGAAACCCGGACGTCTTGTGCGCACATGGAGCTAAGCACCGGCGACTTGTTTTCTTGTGATACCCGACAGCGCGTGATACGTGAAATAATCGCAAGGTCATGAGCGAGTTTTTGTTCATTAATTTGCGACCTCTTGCGGAACAGTTAGTTAAAGTGAAGCTGTCCCAATTATCTCTGGGTTTTCGCACCCGATATACGTACTCGCAAGTGTCTGTGACGCAGTTTACTTTAGCACTTCTTGTTTTTGTTTGCGTAACGTACAAATAGCATGCAGAAACAAAGATAGGATCTTTCACGCTCGCATTATGGATAGCGTCTTTGGCGTTGTCTAGTCGTTTGGGTCCTAATACTTGTACACGTTATGTCTAGCATTTGGCATCCTACATCTCGTGTTCACTGTAACAGCTTCCCATTTTCGCCTTTTCTTCGATGGAACCTGTGAAGGTGATCCGTCCATCGGTAATTCTAGGTGAATTTTCATGGGTCGTTCAACATACTCATCTCTTTTGATTGCAAAAGTTTCATCACCATTCGACGAACAAACCAACAACCAAGCAGCTCACCCGAGCTACCTATATTTCACAAGATCGCAACCGTCACCTGTTCCTGGTTTACGAGCGATTATGGCGACAACTCACAGGAGCGCTTTGCAGTTGTTATTTCATGCTTTTGTTTTCGGCCTCCGATCCCCTTTCCCCCACCAATTAGTCACGTTTCACAACAAAATCACAAGGGGATTTCAATTGAGATGGCACTACGCATAAGATTGATGAAAACTCACCCTTGTGATGCATTCAAAGGTCCACCCTTATACGTTGATGAGTTGGACGACTGCACTACTTCGGTCTACTCTTCTTCCAAACCAGATTCCTATCCTCTGTACTCCGTTGCTCTCTGCACCATTGCTTCGGTCCCGAGGATGAGTTTTTTGTTCAGACCCCTGGTTCACTTGTTCAGCCATAATCCTCCTCCTACATATACATTACTGGCTCTGTACACCGATAATTGGAGCTTGGGAAGTGGCAGCTGTGTGTTGGATTGAAAGCTTTCCTCTTTCGATTTTATGACCAGTGAAAGCATCATACAGAATAAGTGGGGTCATTTTTGCTGCTACAATACCTCTTCGGGTGGATAAACTTTCCTCATCACAGCTTCCATACAGAAATGTCGTTATTCGCTTTGCTCAAGCAGGTCTACAAGTGTTTCTAGCCACTGATGCTTCCTGTTATATATGCCTATCCAACTTCTGGAAGCCACTTCTGTCACATTTTCCTGAGGGTGATACCTTGGGATTAGATACTATCACTTCCTATCACCTTCCTGCATACTTTTACGCAACCCAATGGTCTGTTTTATCATATTTCTGTGAAATGAAACTGTTTCCGTTTACTTCCTTGCGTAGTCACCCAGTTCCCAAACTACCTGAACACGTCACCGCCTCCAATACTTAGCCGTTACTCTCACGATCTCATTTTCTGGTTATCAAAACTGCAGTAGCTGGAACAACATACTCCACTTACGCGGTTTATAGCTGACAAATTGATATACTGGCCAGCACGCCAAACTGCGAGTGTACACCATTCATCATAACTTGAAGAATAAACATCATGATTGATCGTCCGATTAGGGTGCGCCGTGGCCCCTCAGAATCAACACAGGAATTTCCCCAGGTTCAATCCTGTCTCCTACCCTTTATCCTCTTTCGAATACTCGGTGAACTTTCAGGATCTGTATTTGCATTGAAGAGCATGCTAATCACCTTTCCAGGGCCTGTCTGTTCGAAACTCTGCTACCTGCGTTTAGGCGTTTGACCTTAAGATCCCCCACATGTAAGGTGTGAATGGGAATGAGGTTACTTTCATTAATGTGTCGTTACCTCGTTACTCTTATTCCAAGTCGGTGGTAGCCCACTCTCCTTTGTTTCCTCACGATAATTGGTCCAAGTGGAGTGAAAAAGTTCTTAGAACATTTGTTATGGTTTCAACACCTATCGTCCAGGTTTTGCTGTCGTGTCAAGTGATACACAGGCTGGTCTAATCTAGATGTCGGTTGTTCGTTTTGACAGCTACACTGCCACTCTGTGTCCTTGCTTGAATGTTGCACGTTCTTTCACCGTCTTAGGGCTGTAACACCTGTGCTACCTGAAGAATCAAACGAACATTGAAAGGCCATTAATGTATTATTTTCTGGAAAAAAGTGACGAATTTGAATATGCGAGTGGGGAAGTATGGCGACATGTGGTTGGTTCAGAGTTGTGTAACAAGAGGTGACTGTGGAGTTTTAACCTTAACTGAAATTAAGGGTATAGCTTTTCTCTTTGGAATCCTACTATCGTATTCTTCCACGGACTACCGTCTCCCGGGTAATTTTGAAGTGAGATTCGCATTTTGAAAATCAGACACTAGCTTGCCATCCACTTCACATGACAGTGATGTCACCTGGTTGGTTTATCCACCGCAGTCGAATCACAGCCTGTGGCTATCACGCTTATGTATACCTGCGAAAACAATGGAGGTTTGACCTTCGTAAGATTAGTTCCGTCTCCAAGTTTTACAATTACATCCATATCCCCTATTGTTTCCTCCCCGTAGCTTCGAATTATGCCCCGGACAACCAGAATACGTCTTTACATGATCGGCTCAGTTCTCTGGCTCAAGTTGTCACTGAAGAAGCCGATGTCAGCTTGGCCATGTTATGTCATCGTATCAGTCGGCTGCAAACGGAAGCTGAAGCAGTGGCCAGGGCAATTACGTCTTCTGACCCTTCCCAGTGCACAACCATAGCTCCGCTCAACTCCGACCAGTTTTCTCGACCCACGATTGAGGATAAGTCGGAAAAATCTGGTCCTAATCGACAGGGTGATACTTTGAACAGTAGTTCAACGAATTCGGTTGCTGTTGTTTTGACAAACTGCGAATCCCAATCCAATGGAGCATCACCGCGTGATTGTGACGCTAGGAACCAGCCGGTGGCACAGGATTAAACCCTTTAAGTGAGTATCCCCACTCCGATCCTGTTGCTTGATATAGACTCGTGAACTCTTATCCAAATAGAACTCTAAATGACCCGGTTTAACATCATAGGTGCTATTGTTTGACTTGATGTGAAGTCAATGACAACCGTTTATTAATAAGTTGTATCCTGGGCTAGTAATCAGATACCCAAAACCGCAATTTTCTCGGTACAACCTATCGCAATCCCAAGTGTTCTTGAAATTTATATGTGACCGCCGATGACATTCTGTGTTTCGAAGCTACTGTGTTTGGTATCCAAACCTCAAATGAAAGATCGCCCCAAAGACGCGAATACTGACCATTATGACATAGGTGCTAACGTACTGGTCAGCACAAAGTTATTATCTGATGAAGGGCGGACCTCCTGAATAACCAGAACTTCGATGGTACGCTATTAGCGAGTTACTGGTGGCAAATTCGAGGTTATGTTGCAAATAGTATCACTCTTCCTAACTGATTTCTGTGGACAGAGGCAGTCGTTATGCATTCAGTGGAGGCCAAGGTACATTCACGCGGGCCAAAATTTACTGTTACCGATTATGCTGTTGACAAAGTGAGAGCCGAACTGTTCTACTTAATCTAATCACGGATGTCATGCGAGGTACCATCAACCTCTATCATCATTTTGGAGCGAGTGCGTCCTCTGAGGCATCCATTTCTTAACCATAGGTGCGCTTGTGGGTCTTAGTGTGACAAGTACACTTGCGTACGCGAGAGGGAATACGGGGGTGACCTCGAACCATCGGCCTCCAGTTTACCAGAGAGGAGATAGCCCTACTGAGCTATTGAAGGTGCTTGCTTCCCACCATATGTTACTCGCTGCGCCAGTGGGATAACAGCTGTAGTTTTCGAACATCACTAAGGTGCTCTTTGCTTCAGTTGGTCCCTCCCGACTTATCCATTCGCTCATGTCATGTGTTAGGGCAGATATCATGCCTCCAGTCCTGGCGAAACTTCGGGAGAGTTGACGCGTTCTTTTGTGGCAGTCGGAAGAAAGTCACTACAGCCACATGTGCATCTCTCGATGGCAGCATGGCGTTGTTCCGACGCTCTTCATATGTAGTGAGTGCAGGCGGAACGCATGCATCTAAACGCTTTGGAGCATCTAATATTCGGTCTGTGGATACGAGCTGTGCACCCCTCTGGTAACGGACGACACGAGAACCGTGCGTCCGGTTATGTATGCGTTCATGGAGAGCGGACAGCCTGCTTTCATGCACGACACTCGGCACAGGTTTTTCGGAGGCGGTGGGTAAGGGAATTAATACCCCCGCTTCAAGAACGAACCAGGTGGAAGAAACCCCAAAGGAACTTCAGTTGGTCCCTCCCGACTTATCCATTCGCTCATGTTATGTGTAATAAAAAATTCGCACTTTAAGATTATTCAGCTGTTGACTCTTGGATAGCCAAGTAATACGTTTCGTTGTTCATGGGATCCCACTGAAAGTGTTGAAATCAAGCTCCCATTGTTTCCCGACACCTACCTGTCTCACTGGCAACGACTGCACAATCCGCACTCATCTGTACTCTTTGTGGGGGCCAATACTAACTAGCTGATTAATTCATTTGAATGAAAAATCCTCTTCTCGCTTATTTGACGCTTACATTCTATAACAGTCTCAACTTGATATCGCGTCATTTCCTTACACATTTTCTTCTGTCTTTCTTCCAGTTCGTTACATATATTCTACTGGGAATCGGACAGTGCGGTTACGGCTTTTCTGTTACATAGACCTAATCTATAAAATTAGTGAATATCCTTTTTCTCCCCGCCAAACTATTTACTTTCTTTCCATCATACTTGTGTGTTTCTATCCGTAGGATGGGGATTGGGACAGCCTTTCATTATAAACTTACCCGAAAACGCCCCTAACGAAAACTCCGCTCTCGTGCTTCTTGTTGATATGGTCTAATTTAACGGGGGGTAGTGGTGTTACTGATTGATAATACGCGAATTATTCAACACAAACGGGTCCCAGGGAGCCTAGTCGTATGCTTCAAATCAGGTCGTGGCCGAACAGTTATTAACAATGACTACAATCATGTTCTCAAACAGCCCGGTCGATCTGAAGACCCTAAACACCCTCCAAAACATTGTCACCACAGTATAACGGGAATGTATTTNATCAGGTAGGCGCAGTCTCCGACTTCCCGTCAACCTTACGTTCTACATGAACCAAAATTTGACTGCTTTCGAGAAATACACTCATTTGCATGAAATTCAAGACTGCTGACGATTCCTTTTTTCAGATATACACAACCACCCTGTGGATAAGACGGCGTCACGAGATAGCTGCGGGTGTCGGTCCTATCATGAATATGTTGCTCTATAGGTTGTGACCGTCCTGAATCTGTCGCCATAACAACGGTAGCCGCTGTCGCTCATCCCGACCACTTATCGTGCTTAGTCCGTCTGTAGAAGACAGCTTACTAACAATTTGCCCCCGTTCCATACCACATGTGGCAGCCGATCCCCATATTTATTCCCCCAGGTTAGATGAACTGAAACCTTGTTTTACAGAACTATTTTTATAACTCTTACGGACTTTGGTCGGACATTGTGGTTTTTGTGGTCGCTTACCGTCTGTATCCGCTTCATTGTGACAATATCGAATTTGAGGCGATGTGATCTGCGCTTTATCCTCGGGCTGGTGATTTTACCACCTTAATTTGTAGCCCAACGGTATCTGCAGACGAGAATCCGTTGAGGTTTGTTGAGGGTATGTATCATTATCTTCGCAATAGTACCATGATCCTAGAAATAGGATGTCTTGGCCGTTTTCGTGGATTGGCACGCGTCGCTTAATTTCAAAATGTAGACATTCGTAACAGTACTCAACGGTCTACGGACTCGGAGAAAATGATGGAGAAAGCCCCGTCAATGGACCTCTATCTACCGGAGGAATCAAGGCAAGTCAGCAATTCCGGCAATCCTTTAGCCCGGCTTTGCCCCATCTAAGCTTAAAAAATTAAAGTAAGCTGCTTTGTTGCGAGCACAGATTAAGCTTTTTAGGGCGCGTAATGTGGTGAGTCTAGCGGAGTTAGTGCTGGATTCAGACGATGATTCCTTCGTTGACGTGCAGGTTGAAACACAGGTTAGGGTAAATGATTACTTTGCGGGGATGAGAAGTAGCACGCCCGTATGTGAGACACCAGTGATCTAACATACTTCTTGCGTGGTTAAGATAGACCTACCTAGAGTGGACTTAGAGGCTTTCGACGCCGACGCAAGGTGTTAATGGAGACCTAGTCAACAGTTCAAATACTATATAGAAAATGGAGTGCAAGGTAATGCAAGGAGGATGGTATATTTGATTCATTACTGCAGAGGCCTAGCGAAGGAAGCCGTGGCTGAGCGAGTAATGTTGCCTTTGGAGATTGCCTACGGCGGAGCGCGGGAAATACTTAAGGATCTTTTTGAGAGGAAAGATATGGTAGCCAGAGCCATACCGGACGATATGTTCAAGAAATTGAAACGGTTGCATGATGATGCAGATTCACTGTCTCGTTTGTCGATAAATCTTTATAACTGTCACGTTGCTCTAAGTCAGATGAATCGTATTAGTGACATAAATTCCACCTCAACCACACAACGCATTCTCCACACGTTATCGAGGGATGCTCATCGGAACTGGTCGAGGTTGGCTGACTCTATGGACAACCTTGGAATACAGACAGGTTTCTCTGATCTATGCAGCCTCGTTTCTCAAGAACGCATTGCTCGCAGCCACTATGGCATGATTAACATAGGCTCAGAACGCCATCGTCCTCAAAAGTATCATTAGCGGTAGCCAACAGAAGGCGCCATAACATATTCGCCATTCAGAAGGAAACCCATGACTCGTGCCCATTGCGACGGCAGACACGGGCTGGCGCAGTGTCATAGGTTTACTGACTTGCCAACGCGAGTAAGATGGAGCGTGGTGAGAGGAAAAGGGCTATGTTTTGTGTGCTGAAACCAGGCCATGATAGTAACAAGTGTGGCGCTCCTAGGAAGTATGGTATAGAGCGCTGCTTGGGGCTCACCACCATCTATTACATGTAATACCGGATGCCAACAAAACCACATTGGTTGATTTGTGCAAGTCGACGTCTCAGACGGAAGCAGAACCTGCCTTGGCGTCATACAGGTTCGTGTGAATGGTCCGCAAGGCAGCGTTCTTACGTATGGATTGGTGGATAGTGGGTCGGACGTAACATTGGTAACGAAAGGCTTGTTTGATTAGGTTGGTCTGACCGGCACTCCAACATCTGTGAATTTCTCAAAAATGAGGGAGACCCCTACTGTAGAGGCTGTAAGACTCCGAATCGAGTTTGAGTCGGTAGATCCAGGTGAGACCGTAGCGGATAAACAAGCCTTTTCAATACGCTGTCTGCCCATCAGCCCACCAGTCGTGAGCCCAACTAGGACAGCTTGTCAGTATACTCAATACTGCACTGGATTTCACCTGCCGGGGCCACTTATAGTAACTGACAGGCCCGTGCACATGCACGCAACTGACTGTAATTTCCCAACTATACAAAATAGACTAATCCAACGACCAAAGGCGGTCCTTTGTATCCATGCCTTCACCACCTGCCAACACTGCATGCTTGAAAAATACACCACCAACAACAACTCATGTTCCTCTTTATTGGTTGCATCGGTACAAATATAATGTGTGGTTACGGGGTTTTTGAAAAAATGTATAATGTTCTTCTGCTACAATTTCGGCTTGCCTCCCCCACAAGATCAATTCCGTATACGGTGTTCGGGTCGCCCTATGCATTAGCACCTTGTCCTTATCCAACCTATACCCTGCACCTGACGTCCCCACAACTGTGCAACAAGTGGGTCTGTTTAGTTTCAGGTTAAACCACTGTTTTGTGACAAAACTCGCCACGTGCTCTCGCCGTCACGCACTCCACCAAAGTAGCAATATAACCAACAAGGGGCACCCTTCTGGGCTTCATGCTACTCACCGCTCATGTCGAATTACTGCGACCCATCTTTACTTCCGAAATCATGTCGACTATATCGGAATAAATGAGCTAGTAAGGCAGCCAAACCTGATGCGATCCAATTGTCCCAGATAATAATAATGACGATCTAGCTGGAGACTTCAAGAACACATTCTTCAGTGGAAATACCCGGTGCACAACCGCAAAATCGCTATGTAACAATCGCCTTACGTATTTGCCGACACTGGCCAACAAGAGTTATGGTTTTGAGACCACCGTTGTCAAACGCCTGAAAACGCCTTGCTTCTGCTTCTCAAACAGACCGGTTTTCACAGCCGTACAACAGAACAATCCCTACTGCAGTCTGATATACACGTCACTTGATATCCACGGATATGCCACCTTTACACCATAGGTGGTTCAACTCGGCAAATGCAGATTTGTGCATTGACCCCATCTGTCACACTAAAACCAAAATACAACTTCGAATGTTTATAAAATGCCGCACAACTCTACCTATCCAAACGGATCAGAAAAATACCTGCGAACATATTCAAGCTTTGTTCTACCCCTGGGGAATTCCTCGGCCAACCCAAAATACCCCCCTCTCCACAGAATGTACATCCCAGACAAATCACCCCAAAAATGACTTCCATTACGGGGCTGTCCAGAAACCGCCGTGTTTCAGTGCAATGATGGCATGGCACCGCTATACCCAGTTTGACAGCATGCCCGCAACTATGCCTTTTCTCCTCTTGACCCTTCTCTTACCCTATCGTCCACCTGTTCCACGCTTTATTCTGACTAACCTTATGATCATGCCTGACAGCACGCATCCCACCTGTTAGGAACAAATATCGTTATGATAACGTGGCACTTTTTTGGTACAAAATGCACACCCATGGACAGAATGGCTTTGATCGGTTCATCCGAAAATACCCACGCCTTTCCTTCCTCTTTGAAAATGAGGACGATGCCTGCATACTCCAGATGGACAATTTGTTTGCCACTAGAAATTCGAAAACCGGATCCAGAAGACGATTCATCATTCGTTTCGTTATCTCGTCGATCACGAAATCAAGTGGGAATTGAGACAGGGCGCTCTCGACGTACACAACAATGTTTACGGAAAATTTTGTAGCTTTCCATATATTTCCTTAACATGTCCGCCTCTTCCACACATCCTGTTCACGACAACGCGAGACTGCAAAATTGGCAACTCTCACTTCAACTGCATGCCATATTCTTTCTCAAGATGAACCTCAATCCCCCTGCTGCAATGAAGGAAGGGAAAACTGCAATGGAAGCATTTTTCATCGGAAGCCTGTTTCCAGCCTGAGCTTGTTCTGGCTGTGGCATATGTCCCGAGCAGTCCTCCCATGGATCGAAAAATCCGTCGGTAGAAGAGAACAAGATGCCACGATACTCACCAAATGCACGTGATGTGATGCCTCAAAGGCAACTTGCTGTAACAGCTCCATTTTGAGGTTAGCTCATCGTATGAACAGGCAACACCACCGGATATCACTGATCTCTTGACTCCGCCAACCCCAAGGTACCCTATTTGTGCACAATCTAGCCAGTTCACGTCCCCATACTTACATATGTCCTCATCGGTTCGCATGGACCACACCCCGATTACCCGCACGTAAATATCGATTGCCTTTTTTGAAATCTGGCAGTGTCGCCTCAGTGAAGCAGTTAAGAATCGCGACGACTTCTTGCTGTCTCTTATTTCGGCAGGCATTCTAACTCACACCAAAGTGCTTGCCAGCAAAGCTATCGGACACTTTTTCCTATTTTGAGTCCTCGATGTAGGCATGACTGTCCTACTACCTCGTTTGAATGGCAACAACAAAGCACTGTGAACCCTTGGTGGACCTAAGAATATGCTCACTATATTGACAAGCTTAAGCGACTCATCCAAGATATTCATGTATGGGGCTGCCCACGAACGCCGTACACCGTTGCGATGACGATACCACGACTACCATACTCAATCTGGTGGCTTACCCGTAGTTCACCATATCTCAAGTATTTCTCAGACAAAGATGGTTCCCAGAAGACCGTTTCAGTCCGTTTAATTTGTACAGGGACTTGAAAGCAGGGTCCATCTTGTTGTGCCGTCTGCTTGGTCTAATCACAAAAACAATAGTATATCCAACGGCGTTATTGGTGCTCGGTAAATCGGTGAAGATCGAACCTTGCCTTAAGCCAGATATAACATATGCCCACCATCATAAAAAACAAAAAACTTACTAGCTGTGACAAATTCCTTGGGATCAGCGTGACGCTCGCCGCATATACAGGGTGGGAATGTCCGTTCCGATTTGAGTTTCCGCGGTGGGCAAGATTATTGTCTAAGTCGCTCTGAGGTGGTTTTCAAATTTAATACGTAAGAAAACACGCGAACAAACTAGCTTTTCCATAAAATTTCCCACGGCCGCCATTAAAATACGAATTCCGCTCTCACACTGGACTCCAAGTTAGTTTAAACAACTTTTAATAAAATGCGGCTGCGTGGGGACATCTTAGGAGCCCGAATAAAAAAGCATCAGATGCTGAAACTTCATGTTAAAGTCTCCCTTATTGGAACCACGGTTTCAGGGAAATTTTGGGTGTGCATCTAGTATGCGGCCGATTTCTTGTTGCATTAGGCAACTTATTCACAGTCGGCGGTGTTTATTGACCTTGAAGATTCGTTCACTTGAACCAATCTCCATAGTAGATATCAGAACATAAACAGTATACGTAGACATTCAAAACTATGAATTTGGCAAGCCTGGGAACGCCATAGCCTTCGAGAAATCAATTCCATTGTGCGAATACTGAGTAGTTGCTCGGTAATTTTTCATGCAAGGACACATCTGCAGCACAACGCTCTTAGCTGCAAAAACTTTGCAAACGGAATAAAGCTTTCTGCGCCACAATTTCGCATTTTGTTGCGTATGTGTCCAACCCAAAAATCATCCCAATCTACGTTTATATTTTTGCAGCTCACCGATTTTCATTGTCCACTGAAGCAACCATACTTCTGTCGGAAAAAACTGGTGGGATATTTTCCTAACATCTCTGATACTTGAGTTGCTCAGATGGGGCTCAATAGATTGCACTCACACGCGGAACTCAATGCTCTCTTTTAGTCCAACAGGGACACGTCGTGGCCCTCGAAAATTCAATTTCGTTGTGCGAATGCTGAGCGCCTCTGTATTCCAACGGAACATTGCTCAAGAGAAATGCACCCAAATTATTTTCGGAAAAACTCTAGGGTGTACAAATTTGTGACTTTTGCAAAGATTTCATCTAATACGATTGCACCTTTCAGTGATAAGTCGCTCTTAGCATGCTGTTTTAGTAAGCGAAATTTCTAGGTAGCGGGCAATCATCGATTCGCACTGTGTTACCGGCTAACGACAGAACGACCACGCGTCTTGCGGTGTCACTCTTATTCTGACTGGCTAAAGTCTGCATGGCGGGAACATTGCAAATCGCAACATGGCGGATTGGCGGTTAACGACTGACCCTCTTGAAAGAAGCATAGGATTATAATGTGGTTGTACCTGTTAAAAATTTACATCGTTAACAGATTTCCAAACGTACTGAAAGCAAATAGTATGCGAATCCAGGGAGCCTAACATAACTTGCTTGTGACAGGTGTAATCGTCCATGTTGTCCCAAGGGTACCGGTATCTTTAAAGAAAGATTATATTTGTGCTCACTGATGGTAACAAAAAAGTGACTGATCAGAATAACCCACATTTAGCGGTTATCGCTGGTGTATTGATTGTTTGCACTCAGCGTTGTTTATTTGTTATGAAGCCGTTAGTCTTTCGATGAAAACGAATAGCCTATGAGTAATTGTATGTTACCCTAAATGAACACCTCGTAGTTTATGTATCATGCGAAATGTGTTCAGTAGCTAAAGTAGTCGGTATTTTCACTGACCGCACTAACTGTGGTTTGTAATAACTCTCAGAACTATCAGTGCATCCTTCGCAGCCAACCGATCAACGATAGGGCCTGCGGTTATGCCAGAGCTAGTAACCGATTTTCTATTTCTGGTAGTCTCCCCTTTAACGCCAAGTATTTTGTGGACATACAGAAAGGTCCCATCATTTTAAAACTCTGAAGAATGAGAGGAACTGTTGAGATATGCACTGATCATTGCCCGCTACTCTCGTTTAATTATGTAACCATTGATATGGAACTTTGCCAACTTAGTTTCCGCTGGAAGGCATTCTTTGCAGTTGTCCACATAAATTGGCGTGAACCCCTACCATTAGAGAATCGCCACTCCCTCCTGCCTCCCAGGCTTACTTTTTACATGTCTGACGAGGATGGCTTGCACTCGTTGGCGATTTCGTATGCCATATAGGCAGCAACCGACCAGC